TGATACTGGAGAGATTGCAAAATAGGAAGTACCACCTACCGCTTCACTTTAATTGAACAGACCCACGCTTGTAAGACTCGTGAGCAGCCTGTATGCGTCGTCTCCCTGAGCGGTAGCGCTGCCTTTGAAAGATATACAGCTGTAAAAGGCAGCACCATTGACCTGACTGTGACGTGGAGTACAGGCCCGAACACCGGGATGCTGATCGTGCATGATCCAGCCGTCTGCTGGGAAAACTGGAGATACGGAAGTGGTGCCAGCTGGGGCCCGTCCACAAGACCCGAGAGGCGGCAATGTGAGAAGTCAACCGCAGAATGGAGTCTCACAACATGCCCTGTGAGGTGAGACATGCTGCTCGGAGTCGTGCACCGCCATTCCTTGCCGCCCCTATCTTTGGCACTGAGACACGGGTGATAGCGGTTCTGAGCTGAAGAGGATAGGCTGTGGGCTGCAATGGCCAGTCTTGCTCTTGGTCTGAGTGCCGTGTCACGATTGCAAACGATACAATGCGGATCAACGTCTAAGCTCCAATGAAGCATGGGGGCGTCCCGGCAGTAAACTGACGCTCTGCCGCTAGGTTGAGATCAGCTAGGGGTGGCGCTTCGTCGTAGTTGACGGGCTGTCCTTTCTCAGCTGAAAGAACGCCAATGTGTAAATGAGGCAGCCTTACTGGTTTCAGTTAGTTTTCTTTTGGCGTTGAATACGGCGTGAAAGCATCGTAGGACAATGCGGAGTGCTGGTGGTACGAGTGTTGCGCCGTCAGGCACGAACAGTACAACTGCGAACAATTTTGTCAACAGGAAATTACGGCGAGGCTGTCCCCTGGACGTATTCTTGGTATGCATTTCCAGACTCCGACGCTTCCTTTGAGTGATTGAACGGAGTGTGACTTCGCGGCTGGAAGTGAAGAACTCGTATACCCAAGCCTTGGCAGGAAACGGTACCGTTCTGACGCCGACGGGACTAAAGTCGACTATGTATGCCATGACGCTAGACTTCGTGGCGTCTTCCGTCGTCCACCGTCTGGCCGTGCGGTGTCTGATGATGGTTGAAGTCTTCTGCTTGGCCGCTATAACACAGGACGGGCGAACTCTTGGTGGCAGAATAACATGAGGGGCTGAAGCGCTTTGCTCCAGAGATTGCTTCCTTTCAACAGCATTTGTGGTGACTGGCAAGTCTGGGTAGTGAACCTTGGCCAAACAACGAATCAGCATGGCAAATCAGCGCGCCGAATAAGCGAAATAGGTTGGTGAAAGTCACGTCACCCAGCTTTGGCTTAGCCTGGCTCGCCTGAGCTCTGCGACTGGGGTAAACTGCAAGGATGAAGGACTGACAGGCCCTTGATGAGGTGTGCGATGGACCCGAAAGAGGCAAAGCTCCGCGACGGACGGAGCCTCGGAACGGTGGGGATGCTCCGAGAGCCCGATCCAACCTCTTCTGGCAAAGGCTGTGACTGCCAGAGACGAGTGGTGGGTGGCCTAGATAGGGGAGCATGGTTGTGCCACGAGGTGGAAATTCCGCATTTTGGTGGGTGCTCAACTGCACCGGAGGGCATCGTGAGAGTTCCGTCCTAGCCATGTGCCCAGGTAGGTCGAACATCCAAGGAGTATAACGACTGCTCATACCTGGCAGGCGAGGCAGGCTGCTGTGCAACCGTGGTAGCATTGATTGTCGTCATTTAGGGAAGAATACAGGCACCTTGAGGCCTAGGATTTCGTTAGCAAGGAAATGACGGCTCCGCGGTGGACATGAGCACCTCAGCTCTAAACATGCTGTCCGTTGAACTCGCTCCTCGGCCTCTTGGTTGTGATATCCTGTATTTCATACCTCATAGCACCATCCGCGTAGACCCCTTTCTGACTCTGGCCGCCACCCGCCCAGCTCTTTTAGGCTCTGCAACCGTCTTGGTGGCTAAAGTCGAGCCGGCAGGGGGGGTGTAGCGCCGTGGAAGCAAAGTCGGGATACCATGCCCAGTTACTGGCGCTTCTCTGGCGCGTGGCAAGCTGGCTGGGAGAAAGCACGCAGGACACAGACAGTTGGTACAGAGTTACCACAGCTGCCTCGCTTTTGCCGAGCGGGATGGGTTGTGGGCATCGTATGCATAAGCCTTGGGCTTGATGCTGCGGGAGAGCAGCAAGTCGATGGGCAACAGGGTGGGCGCAATAATAGCGGGCAAAATGGACACGGCAGGCAAGACGAGGACAGAAGAAGGCGGCTGGGCCGGCCCGGGTCAAGGACTGCCGGTCTCAATCAGGTGGGCTAAATTCGCTTGGATCTGAGCACGCAGTGGTACGGCGAGTCGCACATGAAGGTAGGTCGCTTGTCGTACGAAATGCTGCATTGAGGATGAGCTTGGAAGGTCATGACGGCCTAAGGGAAATTGCTCGAGAATGAATGAGTAGGACAAATAAGGCCTGGAAGCGACTGATAGCCGGATCACGATACACCAAAGAGAAAGTCATTTCGCTGCGGCGGTAAGTACTCGTCATGGGGAAAATACTCATAGGTAGGTAGTACCTGCCTTTGATTGAGTGCTCCGTTAAGCGCACTCAACTTCACATTACCTTACTTTGGCAGGTACTACCTAAGGTATTTTAGTAGGTAGGTACTACCCAATCAGCCAGGATTAGTTGACAGGCAGGCAGAAAGGCAGGAGGCCACAGCAGGAAGGAGCACTCTCGTCTGAACGCTTCAACTTCCACGTCAGTGCCGCCTCGCTGTACCGACTCCTCACGTCTCCAGCACAAAACAAGGCACTCATCAAACAAAAACACCACCCCGCCAGCACTCCGAGATTCGTACCGGCTGCAGAGCCTTCTGCTGCTTAGCTCCCTGACCTGATGGATGGTTCGTCTCATCAATCCCATCTGCTTCTGTCCTAGGTCCAGACGCTGTGCAGCCTGCCGCCTGCGGTGTCCAATGACAGTGTGCGCTGCCCTGGGACCTACCGACGGCCAGGATGGACTGGGACAAGGCCTGCTGCACCACAGCACGCGAGCTGCAGTGCCCGAATGCCTCTGGGGGAGACGCTGGGAGGGCTGGGCGCTTCGGCGGTGCTGCCGGTGGATCTGACACCAGTTTGGCACCCTGAGGTTGCCTTGCCAGGCCCAGAATCTCCGTGTGGACACACCGTCGCATGCTTCCAACGGGTAAACGCTACGCATCAACGGTCCGTCTGCCCGGCTGCGCTGTCCTGCTGGAGAGAGGCTCGTCGGAGAAGCCTGCCTGGCTGTGAAGGAGGCCGATAATACCATGGATTCAACTCACGGTGGCACACTGCGTTTTCGACCTGCGGGTGATTGACGTCTGTATCACCTCACTAGATTAAGCAAGATACCTAACTGATTGGCAGGGCAATCGATCCCTGCGACAATTGGATTGGGCTGGCATTCAGCTGCTGCTATCAGTACGTGTTAGTTTGCCTGCATACCAGCGACTTGAACACGTAATATAGGGCATGGACAAACACAGGTTGCACCTCCCTCTAACACCGGCTTTGTCGTCGTCCTCCCTGATCATGAAGGCGCAAACAAGCAAAGGGCTCGGCGCCGGGCGAGATTGTCATGTCATGTCATCACGACGGACCGCGTTTGGACCCTCGACATCCTCCTTGGCTACCGCGAAATGGCACGCGGCATCCCGCCGCAATCCCTCCAGACATCAAGCCGGATCCTGAAGCTGGAGCTGGAGCTGGAGCTCATGGCAAGATGCTCGCACACGCCCCCCCCCCCTCCGTCCATCTGCCAGGGTGGCCGTCGGTTTCTTCCCCAGTCCCGCATTGGGTCTGGTGCACAGACGAAGAACGACTCGCAGACTCGCATCGACCACGACGACACAACTCTGGCGTGGCGGCAGCGAGCCTCTGCATCTACGAGCGGTCCAGCCCAGTCTTTGGAACACAAGAGCGACTTGCTGTCGCATGCGACCGCACACGGCTGGACAAGTCCACGCCGTGTATGAGGAACGGGGAACCAGCAGCGCTAGCCGTGGCTAGCTGGGCACTGGGATCTCCTGGTTCTGGGCCCGGGTCTCTGGGTAGCTCCAGGCTGTGGCTCTAGCCTCTTAACCTGCAAAGGCTGTGGCTGCGAGCGCTCTGAGCGCCAAATCTGCACAGGCGCAAGTCCGGCCCACCCAGCAGGTGCAGCTGATGCGCTGCCGCACCCCCGTCGCTGATTGCTGCAGCGTCTGGCCGCCCTGGCGTGGCCCTGCAAGTGTGGCCCTGGAGTGGCAGGGCTCGGAGCCAGGGGTTTCGGTGCTGTGATCCCTGCCCCCGCGCACTGGCCACTGACCGGGGGCGATGCCCTCACTCGCTCGCTCGCTCGCTCACGCTCACGCACGCAGACGCAGTACCGAGTACGGAGCAGCCCATGCAGCACCAAATCCGCCACAGATGCGCGGGCGGGTCGACAACACCACTACCGAGTTAGAGATGTGTGCTTGCACCAAGGGCCTCTGCCTCTGCCTCTAGCGAGTACTTGTATCTACCTCCGCCCCTCCGAATCTGCTCCCGGATCTTGTCCCTCAAATGTTTCTGCCCGCTTGCCCCTACGACCCCGAATACCCTTGACAAGGTTCAAGCCAAAGAGCAGCCTCGAGACGACGTGAAGGAAAAAGAAAGGCAGTTGTCTCAAGTCACCCCTTCTCCTCCTTCTCCTTCTCCTCCTCCTTTCTGTCCCTGTTCTATTCTTCCTTTTTATCGACGTCGTCATCGTCATCGCTGCTATTGAGACCTCACCATTGATTCCTCTCCTGAGATTACTCCTTGAGCTTCCCTTGCTATCGGTAACAACCTGCCGTTATAAGGACCACACAGCCGCTACTTGCCATCGAATTCCTCGATTTCAATTAAGTCGGGCATCTCGGCAATCTGCCACTAACACATCGGATTCCTTGCTCATTGAGAACCAGTACGGGATATTGGCTTCGCAAGTCTCCGGTTGGTGTGTAGCAACCATAGCCAAACATACAGCGCCTGTTCTTGCCTCCGAACAACAGGAATCATGCCTCATCAACATTCTCAATCCGACTGGTCAGCATGGACCTACTCCGTCGCTCCCACTGACGACTTCGCCGCACAATACACCCAGCTGCCGGTGCCGGACTATCCGTTCCTCGCCGACACCATCAAGGCCTACCAGACCCAGCATAACCACCTTGTCCACCACCAACAAATGTCGCGAACGACAGAGTCCAAGCCGCGACTTTCAAAAGAAGAGGTGGAAGTCCTCGAGGCAGAATTCCAGAAGAACCACAAGCCCAATAGCAGCACAAAGAAGGCTTTGGCTGAGAGCATGAGAGTCGACCATGCTCGCATTAATGTGAGTTACCCTGGTCCTTTATCATATATACATATGCATGCGTGGCATACACATATACATTGTACTTGGCTGACCACCCTGTAGAACTGGTTCCAAAACCGAAGAGCCCGAGAAAAGAAAGAAAACAACATTCGAGAGTATGAAGCCAGGCAGCGAGCCGAGAAAGAGCGCGCCGGCGGAGACATTGGCCTCCAAGGCTCCGATCGCAAACGGGATCGGGTTGCTTCTTCTGCTCCCTTTCCAGAGCCACGCCTGACTTCACAAACCAAGGATCAGTCTCCGGACGACCATTCACGGCTGTCGACTGCGTCTGAGAGCTCCACCGATGCTTATGAGGCCACGCCGCCCGTCACTCCGCATCTCGGGTCTGCCTCTTCCTTCGTCTTCCATCACGCGGATGTAGAAGATAATGACGTCGAGGCCGAGTCTTCGGAGATAAGTGTGCATGGATATTCCTCGTCGCCGGCGACGAGCATGTCTTATGCCAACGTGTCGGCCTTGGACGCGCTCCTCTCTATTGAGCAGCAGGGTGCCGATGGGTACCAGGACATGGACCTTGCGCGGATCACAGCCTTTTTGCATCAGACTGGCCTCCCAAGTAGCCCTGACAGACAGCTCAAGTCTCCCTGCCCAACAGATATTGCCTCTCGCCGCAATCGCCAAACCCCTCAGCTGTCATTCAATGGCTCGCGAAGCTTCTCGGGCAGCCTCAGGGTCGCTGACGCAGCCAGACGCTCTGAGCAAGTGGGTTCCATGCGCCGAGTTGTCTCAACAGGGACAGTTAGAGTCCGCAAGTCTTCAGCCTCTGCTACCACGCCACGCAGCCCCTTTGTTCAGAGGAACCGCTCACCAATGGGACCCGGCTCGGCAGCACCGCCCACGCCAAACACACCCGTCGCGCCTGAGTCGCGGAATGCCAATGGTGGCGGCCTCTTCGCACTCACCACCAAGTACTCGTCGTCGGCTCTGATGCAGGATCCCACGTTGCGCACGCCGCCGACCACGCCGGCCTTTCTGGAGAACTTTGTCTTCAACAACCAGGGGGCCACATACACCATGGGTAACTTTGGTGCAAGGTCTTTCTCTGACCAGCTGGATGCGCCAATCCACGCAACGACAGCAGAGTACGGCGCTGCCATAACGACAAGCTCCAGCCAGCCCACAACGCCCATGTTCTCTTACCAGGTGGGCACTGGCTATTTCCCAGGCTATACAGACGGCTCGGACTACAACTGGGCCTTTTCATCCCACAATGGAGAACCTTCTTCAAACTTTGCCATTCCCTACGCCTCTTCCATGGGTATGCTTTGATTTTGGATATGCAATCTCAATGCTGCATGCATCCTAGCGCTGAATGTGCAGCGCAGCATTATGTCTGTTACGCCTACAACCGTCTGGAAAATCATGTCGCGGGCGATCTCATGCAATACTGTACACTATGAACGGCCCTGGCCATCTTTTTCATTTGTCCATCAATTTCCTTTGTAAAGTTTGTTCTAGCGGATAGCATATACACTGGCATTGTACAGTACAGGGAGCGGCACCTTGGTTTCATTTCTTCCGTCCATGAAGGTTGTATTCAGACTTGGTATTCTCTTTGGTATGTCTTTTGTGCGGTTAGGATCCTGGGAGATCAGTGCCTCCACCTCTAGGAGAAGACACGACTGTGTCCATGTTTGGAGCTTCGGCGTGGGATGGGAGGAGCTGAAATACCCCGGAGGTTAGAGGCGCCTCTAAGTGCGACGAGTATCGACTATGCATGGTCTATGATCTTTTGGCAGCTCAACATTAGTATAACATCTATGGCTTCTGTACTTCTTTCAAGAAAAACAATTGTACCTTTGGTCTCTTCAGTGGCCTAAATGTCTCTGAGCTGCGAGCCTGCTCTCGGCGATTTTCGTTAACAGGATATCGGCACCAGCCTGCGTTTGATCCGGGGGCTCTTGAGGGCTGGTGGGTAAGATTCTAGAGGAGCTCCTCCGTGATGTGCAAGGTGCTTCTCCCCGGTTTCCATATCAATGTGATGCCTGGCCTGATGCGCTACGCACGGCTGATTCAACTACAGACTGGTTTTGCGGCCTTGACCACGAGTTGACATGAAGACCTCGAGGTACTACCAAGGAGTCTCTCATTGATTTTGCTCTCTTGGTTCTGCTGCGTGTTGACTGTAGACGGTACCGGACTGTAATCCATAGCTGATGCCGCTGTCCAGAAGTCAATTAGACAGCGGCCAATCAATGGCTTTCAAAGTCAAGAGGAGCCGTCCGTACTTAATTACCTACCTACCTACCTATGTACCTACAAGTGCCTTCCTTGCCTACTACCTAGAACAAGACAACTTGGCAACGTACAAAGCTTTACGCCACAAGGTACAGCTGAGGAGAATCGTAGAAAACAGTAGTCCATCTTTCTGACCTCCTGACTGACTTACAGTACATTAAATTCAAACCAAATTACGTACCTTCTTTACCACCTTAGGGAACTATCATCCTGTGGAAGAAAAGTGTCCTGAGGTATGTACGGACCAACGACGTCACAGCTCTATTCTTAGCCTCCCACTTTGTTTTCTTTAGGCGAACCCGCAAGAGCGCGCAAACGCGATCTGCCGCAGCCCCACCGTGTTCCAGGTGCCCTCTGCACTGAAGAAAGGGCAGCAGCAGGACAACATCCCTTTGATACCTAGGCCACTTCCCTTTGTTGCCCTTCAGGTTTCTCGCAAATAGATATACTACCTACTGTCAACGCCCCTTTCGCCGCTCCCTTATAAGGCCTCTTCCTCCTTCGATAATGCCCGCTCGTGACTGAGCGCACGCTCTCCATGTCCTCGTCCGCGCTCCTCGTCTCCGAAGACGCGTCGCGTGCGCGGTCCGGCATATTGACGCCCACTTCCGAAGGCAGCCTCAACTTGCATCCGGAACGCCATCATGGAGTTTCCTCGCCGCGTGGCGATGCGAGGAAGTCGGGCGTTGCACTGACCATGGAGCAGCTGCTCAAGCCGTCAATTGCCGTCAAGGTGACAATAGTCTCAGTCCCACGAACCGCAAAGGTCTGGGCGTTAGTTGTGGCTGACTTGAAGAATGGTTCTACAGCCGCATCCGCCGAACCTGCATGTCCCGCCCCGCGTCCTGCACCCGTTGATGCTTCTGCCGCGCGAACATCTGCCGCTGTCTTATATCGACTTTGCTGCTTGCCACGGCGATTTCCCCCAGTCCCGGTTCTACGAATCTTACATCCATATCCTCGATCTCGAAAGCCGGCTGGGCCCCGCGCCCATTGTGCTCATCGCCCGCAACGAATTGAGGGGCACGGTTTATGCCCTTGAGAGACAGTTCAATGGGCTGTATGTGCTCTGCAAATTGGCGCCATGGGCAGACCTGGAGAGCCTGGCGCAAAAGGCTACGGCTGTTAGACATGAACGTCTTTCTCCCGTGAAACCGGAGCGAATCGAACACCCTGGCGGCGAAGCGCTTATAACCCCCCAGCTGCATGTCGAACAGAAGAAGAAGAGGGCTGCCATCGAGGCCATTCAGTCACAGATGAGGAAGCGCGTGAGATCACTGTCTGTGTCGACAGTCGGCATCATGACCAAAGAGGAAGAAACGCAGGAGCCCGAGTCCCTGTTATCACAGCTGCCGTCACCAGACATGAGCTCGGAACAGGCTCCCCTGCCAGGATCTGAGAATAGAATCAACCCCGTCAGCATGGCCAGCAGCGCAGAAGAAATCTTTGAGGGCATCAGGAATCATTATTTCGATGCCCTTTACAAGTCCATGGTGTGTGACTGCAATTTTTTGAGCTTGGGTGCTGTTCTACCTATCATTGACGTTTGCTTACATCGATTCAGGGATCGCTTGCGTATTTCGCGAAAGGACCGCTATCCCGAGCTCGTTCGACATTTCACCTGGACCTGGAGTCGAACCTTGATATGGCTGACTTGATCGACTTTTTGAAGAGTCTCATTCTCACAACTGTTCAGATTGACAAAAAGTACCGCGAGTCAATTCCTGAGATCATCGCCAAACTCAAAGACCGCATCGACAGTTCCGACGAGGGCCGCAAACGCAAGCGTAAGCCCAAGAAGATGAAGCTTGGCAAGAGTGGACTGTATCCTCTAGAGGACGAAAACGTCATGCGGTGGTGGGCTGCGAACAAGCCTGAACCAAGTGATGATGGAGCTTCGATCACGCCGTCACAGATCAAGTCTCATGTCTCGATCCTGCGAACGAGGGAAACCAAACTGCAGATGATTCTCATCATGGAGATTCTTGCCCTTGAACCTCTCAAGGCTGCTGGCGAAAGCGGCGAGGCGAATCTGCCTGCACTACCTGGAGCTGCCGATTCTGAAGACCTGCTGGAGAATATCTTGCAACCTCAACCAAAGAAGAGGAACAAGCACAATCTTCCGGTTCTGCTCGATGTTCATGCCGATCGCCTAACCATCTGGCAATCTACAGCGAGCGACGAGCAACTGCTACTCGAAGACGCCCCGTCTTCACAGGCACCCCTGGATGGCCACCTGGACAAGAAGGCATCGTCCGAACCTCTGCGAGACTTCTGCGTGGATGTCATTATGCCCTTGTAAGCATCTGTGATCTTGAGATTTTGGGTTTCCTTGACGAGACTGACCCTTTTCCAGCTTTTCCGCTCGCTTGCCTGAACTTTGCGACTCCATCAGCCGCAAGCTTGGAGGCCCCGTCATCATAGCCCCAGTGAAGGCCAAGTCTACAAAAAGGCCGCTGGCTGGCTTGCGAGATCTCAAGCCTGGCACTGTCACTAGGCGGCCTCAGCCTCCAAACCCCCGAAAGACGCTGCAGCGCGCCCTTTCGACGGAACAGCAGAACCGGAGAAGCATCTCGAGGGGGCCCAGCAATGCAATTGCACTTTTGCGATCTGCCACGTCCACTACCCTTCCAACCATCAAACGCGAGAGCTTGGATTCGGTCGGTCCCATGTCACTGCTTCCCACCGACTCTCAAAGAAGGGCTCAGTCCCTATCTCGAAGCAGTAGTAGTGGCATGAACAATCCCTTTGATCCTAGAGCTAGTAGAAAGGCCGAAGTGGAGAGTGAGCTAAAGGAGGCCATCTCGGCCCTGAGGAAGCCAAACAGGGAGGTTGTGGGTAAAGCAATGGCCGAGGCAGATGAGCGTAAAGCGTCGACCAGTCTCGCCACAAAGAGTAAGTCATTTTCCAGCTTTGACAGTTGTTCAGGACGCATAAATGCTAATCAGAGGACTTCAGAACTGAAAAGGGCGCCTCCTCGGAGTGCTTTGGCTTCAGCCGTTCAGGTCAAAGCCACACCAGCGAATAATCGGTTCAAGAACATGATGCCTGCCAAGTCGAACGAGGGCCAGACTTATTCAGAGGGCTTTGACGAACTGATTCCCCCATCAAGCGTAACGGCCTTCATTCCTTCGACAGGCAAGCGGCCTGCTCTTAGGGAGATGTACAAGCGCAGTCCATCTCCAACGACAGATACAGTAGGCGACACACCAACAAAGACATCGGCCAAGACGAGCTTCATACGCCGATCTTTGGTTGAACAATCAGCGATTCCGCCTTCCTCCCCGGCCGTGCCGCGCATAAGAAAGTCGGCAGCGTTTATAGTGACGAATAGCCCGGACAAACCTATGAAAACGAGTGCCTACGAAGGCCCTGACTTGATGGAGACGCCAGTGAAAAAATCTACTCAGCAGCGGATGGATCTATACGCGACTCCTCAGACGAAGCAGCAGGAGCCAAAGGGGAAGAGCGTGTCAATCTTTGACAGACTAGGGTGGAATGACGACTTTGATGATTTATGAGGCGGGTAACTTTCTTGTGTTTCCTTTGGGTTTTCTCCTTGCGTTCTGGCGAGCATAGTGGCCATATGTCTCGTACTATGATATCACTTGGGTGTTGTTGTGGCTGATAGGCCCCTTCCTATTGGAACGGGAGCAAGGGAAGAAGCAAAAGGCATGGGCATCTGGCATCTGGCATTTGGCGACGGCGTTTTCAAAAAAACATGACGGTAACATCCATCGAGGAGTATTTGCTTCACCGAAGCGGTATGGCACACGTATTGCAGCATATTTTGCGCATATGATTAGCAAGCAAGCAAGTTGTGCACAGATTAGAGTATGGAATCTTGTACGAGACTGAATGAGAGAAGAGAGAGAAAAAAAATGTCAAGATGCCTTGTTCACTGTAAGTCAAGCTGCCGCCGCTATGGGCTCTACTATCATGGTCGGCAAATCTCCAATGTCGACGTGTTCCTGTGATACCAAGTCCACCACCCGAATGGCCTCCAACCCAACGACGCCCTCGCGCAGCGCGAGAAACTGCAGCTCTACGACGTGGCATGCGCCCGGGGCCACGGGGCCAACGCGCGTGTCGGCGCTGAGGCATATGACTTCCGTTCCTTCGATGGCGGCGGTCTTTTGCACCGCGTGGATGACGTTCTCGTCCAGGACCGCATCCGCAATCTCCTTCTTCCCGCGGCGGCCGCCGCTGGAAGGGGGCCGTATGGGGCGGACCTCGTTGCGGCGGCGCTTGGGGATGGCGACGAGGGCGAGCTTGCGCGGGGGGCGGGAGTTTGCCTTTTCGGGGGAGCGGTTGACGACGTAGACGGTCCAGGAGAAGACGTCGCCCGGGTGGACGGGGTGCGGGGGCGCGGTGAAGGACATTGTGATGCCGAGGTCGGGGACGGCGGCGTCGGTGCGGTTGGTGGAGGCCTCGAGCGTGGGGAGGGCGTCGGGCCGGATGGCGGACGGGGACTTGAGGTGGGTGATTGCGGCGGCGGCGCTGCCGATGGAGAGCTGGGCCGGGCGGTGGGCGCGCTGGATGCCGGACTCGGAGGCGGTGCCGAAGCTGGGGTTGACGGGGAGGGAGAAGTCGAGGCCGGTGGTCCAGCTCATGGTGAGGCTCGGGGTGCAGACGCCCGGGATGACGTGGACGGAGGCGGCGATGGCGATTTCAAGGCTGCCCGAGGTGTCACGGGGGAGGGACGTCTCGGTCTGCTGCGGCCGGATGTGGTAGAGGAGCGTGACGTGGTCGTGGGAGACGCAGCTCAGGGGCAGGGCGAGGCCGGCCTCGTCGTTGAGGTTCTCGACGGTGCCGTTGGGCGTTGAGAGCTTGATGCTGGTCAGGAGGGCCTCGCAGTTGAAGTGGGAGGTGAAGTCGATCTCGAGCAGGGCGACGATGGACCGGCTCAGGGGAATCGTGCTGGGGCGGGAGAAGCGTATCCTCGTGTGCAGGACGGGGAACACCCTGATGCTGAGCTGCGGCAGCGTCCGGAGGCGGGTCATGAAGTCCTGCTGCCGCGTGACGGGGGCGACTCTTGATACGCGCAGCGCGGACAGCCGCGGCTTGACGCCGTTGAGGGAAGGGTCGTTGCTGAAGGCCTCAAGCAGGTTGAGGCCTGACGGCATGCCGCTTGTGAGGTAGCCGACTTCTGGGGCAATGGGCTCCGTCCAGAGATCCGGATCGAGGCTCGCGGACGCGGAGAAGACGACTGAGGGTGTGTGGAGGCGCATTCGGGGTCTTATGAGGAGCACGGGGAGCTTCCACATGGCGTAGACGTGCTTGGGGTCTTCTTCTTCTTCTTCTTCTTCTTCTTCTTCCTCCTCCTCATCTCCCTCCCCGTCTTTTCCGTCTTCAGCATTGCGATTTCTCTGACGCTTTTCTTCGAGGATGAAAGGCTTCTTGGTCTCCTGTAGCCTCCCGCTGAAGATGGTCTCCGAAGCGTTGGAGTTGTAGTCAGGGAGGACGCCATTGGCCACCTGCGCCTCCAAGGAGATGTTTATCCTGCTCAGGTGGTAGTCTAGCTCTCTTCTAGGGAGCCATGGCGTCTTGAGCACCAGCAATACGTCCACAGTTTCGTCTGCTCAACGAGTCAGCTGATGATCTTGGTTTACATCTAGAGCTCTCAACCCTTATGAGCGGTGAGGTCGGACTGCGGGCTTTTACCAAAGAATAACGTGTCCCTCTGGTCTATCCATTCAGCAATCGGCTTGGAGCCATCGTATCCCTCAAAGGCCTTTTCTAGGTTAATTTCGGTCTCGGAGGGCACGAGATATGTCAAATAGGAGTTGTTGATGAGGTCAGTGGCCGCATTGGTGGTGGATATCGTTAACTGGACAGGAGTGAGCGGCCCAGGAGTCGCAGGATTGCTGCGGGCTGACATGGCTAAAGGGAGTATAAGGGAGTGGTGGAGGATTAAATAATATAGTTAAAATAGGTGCTTCTTCAAGTTCGTCATGAATTATACAGATATATAGTCATAATCGCTAATGATACTGAGGAGACAACATGAAGCCACAGTAAGATACCGAGCATGAAGCATTACCTCACCCTCGTCATACCGCTAAGCTCCAGCGTGTGCATCCCCTCCGATAAGCCCATAAAGCCGCTACAGGCCCCATCTGCAGCCCCGATTGAGCGCAACCCGGATAGTTGCATGCAAAGTCCCCGACATGGCCCGTGCGCGCTGGAAAGATCAATGTGCGTGTCTCGCGCAATTGCCTGCACCCAAAGCTTTCGCCTCGAAATTTTGGCACAATCGCAGCTTCACCCACAAACATCGCGATAGCCAGCCATCACACAACTCTTCGCCCTGCGCTCGCCGAGGCGCGCTCCCCTTCATAGTCGTCCGCCTGCGAGCGTCTTCGTCGCATCCGTCTGCCTTGCCTCAAACGAAGCTGCTGCTCGCAAAATCTCCGGCGCCTGCGAAGATGAACGGCTTCGCGCCTCCTTTCGCTCAGCCGGCATCGGCCTGGCAAGAGCACAAAACGCCCGAGGGCCGAGCCTACTATTACAACTCTGTTACCAAGGTCACGCAATGGACCAAGCCGGAGGAGTTGATGACGCCGGCAGAGGTGAGTTGGCCGCTTCTTTTCCAGTCTAATCTTCCGATCAACCTCGAACCTGTGTCTGAATTCACCGGAACCGCTGCTAACCTCTTGCTTCCTCGCCTACAGCGCGCTCTCCTGTCTCAGCCATGGAAAGAGTACACCGCGGAGGGCGGTCGCAAGTACTGGTACAATACCGAGACGCAGCAGAGCTCTTGGGAAATGCCCGAAGCATTCAAAAAGGCTCTGGGATCGACTGGTGGGCCGACCAACCCCGTTCCCCAGACTACTCCTACTCCATACACGCAGAGTGGCGGTTATCCAGCTGCAGGACATGACTACCCGCGCGACTCTCGCGATGCTCGCGATGCCCGTGACGCTCGTGACGCTCGAGATCGAGATCGAGATCGAGATCGAGAACCCTACCCCGAATCTCGCCGATTGACCTACGGCGACGACTCCAAGTCACAGCAGCAAGCCTTTGTCCCCGCCTCGAATGATCCAGAGTATGCCACTCCTGAGGAGGCCGAGGCAGCCTTCGTCAAGCTGCTAAAGCGAAGCGGCGTCCAGCCAGACTGGACCTGGGAGCAAACCATTCGTGCCACTGCCAGGGACCCGCAGTTCCGCGCCATCAAGGATCCGAAAGACAGGGAGGAGGCCTTCCACAAGTACTGCCAAGACGTGCGGCTCCAGGACGCAGAGCGCGCCAAAGAGAGGCAGGCAAAGCAAGCAGTCGACTGGGAAACCATGTGCAAACGACATCCTGAGATCACCCACAAGACTCGATGGAAGACGGCCAGGCCCATGCTCGAGGGAGAGACCATATTCCGTTCCACTAACGATGAGAACGAGCGCCGGCAGCTCTTTGAGGAGTATGTCACCAAACTCAAAAAGGCTCACAAAGAACAGCAGGCTAGCCAGAAGAAGAGCGCCATGGACGGCCTTATCGACCTGCTTCCGAAGCTCAACCTCGAGCCGTACACGCGCTGGGCGGATGCCAGAGAAATCATCTCCTCCACGCCTGCTCTTCAAGAACAGGAGAAGTATAGAACCCTCAGTCAGTTTGACATCCTGACTGCCTTCCAAAACCACATGAAAGGTCTGGAGCGCGCCTTCATTGAGTCTAAGCAGGAGGAGAAGAGCCGAAAGTTCCGCAAGGAGCGCAAGGCGAGAGATGCTTTCAAGGCCCTGCTCGAGTCTTTCCGCAAAGAAGGCAAGATCAATGCCGGCACCAAATGGAGCCAGATCGTCCCTCTTATTAAGAGCGACGAACGCTACCTGACCATGATCGGCCAGCTCGGTTCGAGTCCTCAAGAACTATTTTGGGATGTGATCGAAGAGGAAGAGAGGGCGCTCCGTGGCCCTCGCAACATTGTCATCGACGTCCTCGAAGTGAGTTTCCTTGCTTGGCTTTCGCATCCTCGCAGCTGCTCTTTTCCATTTACTGACTGGTTGGACAGGATAAGCGGTTTGAACTCACCCCAAGTAGTGATCTTGAGGAATTTCTCTCCGTCATGAAGAATGATCACCGTACGGCTAACATTGATCGTGACACGCTCCAACTTATTTTCAACCGCGTAAGGCTGCTCCCCATGTGCTCCCGCCCTCTCTGGACTGTCAGGCGATGCTAACATAACTTGTCTCATCAGCTGCGTGAAAAGCGAGCCTCCAAGCGCGAAGATGACAGACAGCCCGATCGTCAGCAGCGTCGGGCTATCGACGATCTTCGTGCCTACATTAAGCGTTTAGAGCCGCCGGTCACGCTGAGCGATACATATGACAAGGTACGACCGAGACTACTGAAATCAGACGAGTTCCAGGCCGTCGCTTCGGAAGAGTTCCGCCGAAGTGCCTTTGAGAAACACCTCCGCAGGTTACGCGAGAAGGATGAAGCAGACCGCACCTACCGACGTCACGATCGACCCTCCATCGAGAGAGACGTGCCGAGACGCGACAGGGATCGATCTCGTGGTGAGCGTTCACATCGCGGCGGCGGCGGCCGTGGTGGTAGGCGCAGCCGTAGCCCAGAACCCGATGCATACGAGGCAGACAGGCGAAAGGCGATAGCTGAGCGCGAGCGAAACCATCGCAAGTCGACCATGGCAGAGAACCTTCTCGCAACTGACCGTGGTCGTCTTTCGCCGCCGCCACCACGCCGCGAACGCGATCGTGAACGCGACCGAGATCGAGACCTGGACCGTCCTCCTCGCTCCAGGCGCGATGACGATGCCTTTCATGACCGCGAGCGCAGAGACCGGGAAGATGACAGAGAGAGGCTCTACCGCCGCCGCGCTGATCGAAGTTCGTACGACGAGCTCCCGTATGGCGATGAGCGTCCTGCTGCTCCGCGTCGTCGTCGTCCCGAAGAGGAAGATGACTATGCTCGCCGAGATTCACGAGACTCAAAGGTACGTGTGACCAACACCCGCTCATCATCAACACCGTCCGCCCTACTCACACATGGCACAGAGACTCAGAAGAGAACGATCACGTGAGCGCACCCCCCCTCGTGAAGGACGCCAACCACGCATTAGAACCCCTGAGCCAGCCAAGGACGTACGCAGCGGAAGCGAAGAGGGAGAAATTGAGGAGTAGGCAACCCCAGCGTCGCGCCTTTCACCGTCTGGCGAGTAAGCTTTATATTTCTTTTTGCACATTTTTTTGCCACCACGGATCGTAAAACCCCAAAACCAAGGACCAAGGATCCAGGACCAACAAAAAAAAAGAAAAGAAATTGAAAAAAAAAAGCCCAAAAAATACGACATCTTTCTGGCAAGGGGAAAAAATCTGGCAAAATGGTGTAGCTATTTTCCATGCGTATGACTCTTTTTCTGGACGTCGTAGTCAGTCAGGACAAGCTTTGTTTTCACGAGGATAGCTTCGTTTTTCTTGCTTTTCGGAAACCCAATCCTGTTGGAGTCTTGTTTGAGTTATGATACAAGCACCTTGTCTAAGTAAATGTACATCAATCCTCTCTTTCTCTCTCTTTTGCTGTTTTGTGATGTGCAATGTGTTTTGAGCTTCACGTCTCCTTGTCTTCCAAAATGTCTACATTACAACCCCATCCCCAACCTTACACTCCAGACAGAATCAACATTGTAAGGAGATGTACACGTCACCATTACGCATTTCGAGATAATCTTGTAACGAACCAAATCAATGTATTTGCATCTGTAACTTTTCGACGACTACTGGCTATGGAACAAAGTTTCCCGCGAGGTAGGAAACCCGACGGCAGCCATCCTGCTTGATCCATTGTCCCTCCACCTGCGGAAACTGGTGGCTCTTCTCGAGCGTTCTTAACTGCTGTTTTTTCTTTTTTCCCGCAGGACCAGACAACAGGGGATAGGCTGCCGTTGCCAACGTTACTCATCTGGGTCGTCGTCCTCGCTGACGCCGTCCGTCTGTGTCCCAGCCTCGTGGCCGCCTCCGTCTCCGCGGATTGCATCTACATGCGAAGCAGGAGAACGAATGCCACTACCCTCTGGAAATGCGTCATGCTGATGACGTTGGTGGTGCTGATTGGGGCTGCCCTCTTCAAGCAGTCTCCTCGGGCTTCTCCTCCAAGAAGAACTAGAAAAACGGAGAATATTAATATCAAGACTTCAGACAAGATAAGAGACGGAAAAAAACTTACGAAGTTGCCGCTCAGCTTCTGTTCCTGGTCAAGCTGAGAGCCTAACTTGTTGATACGAGGACGGTAGTTGGTCGGGTCACGACGGAATGTAACGTCCAGGTTCTTCAAGAAGGTGTTGCAGCCAGTGAGAAGCGACTCGGGCCTGTTGGCGTGAGCGTCAATACCGGGCTTGCCGTCAAAGACAATGACACGATCGGCAAGGTAGGTGGCCATGATGAAGTCGTGCTCGACGACGAAGGCGGTCTTCTTGGAGTGCATGATGAAGCGCTTGATGACTCGGGAGGCAATGATACGCTGCTCGGAGTCGAGGTAGGCAGAAGGCTCATCGATCAGGTAGATATCCGCAGGCATACCCAGAGCAAGGACAATGGCCACACGCTGCAATTCACCACCGGACAGGTTCTTGACTTCCTGGTCAATGAAGTCATCGAGCTTGAGGGGCTTGACCACATCAGTCTGGAACTGGGGAGACAGGAAGGCGGCCTTGATCTTCTTGAAGAAGAGCTGGCGAACAGTGCCCTCAAACTTGGGCGTAATGGTCTGGGGCTTCATGCTGATCTTCATATCCGGGACCGAGCGCTTGCTGTCGGGCTTGAGGGCACCAGCAAGCAGACGGCAGAAGGTGGTCTTGCCAGTTCCGTTCTCTCCCATCATGACGATGATCTCAGAATCGGTAAACTCTCCAGCATCGATGCGAAGTCGGAAGTTGCCAAGAGTCTTCTCCATGCTGGGGTACTGGAAGGCACGAGACTTGTCAATGGCAATGTCGTCGGCAGCCTCAGCAAGACGGAAGGTGAGGGACTCGTCACGGAATCGCAAGTTCTCCGTGGGGATGTGACCGTCGAGGAAGATGTTGATTCCTTCACGAACAGAGTGAGGCAGGGTGACAACACCATAGATGGCGGGCTGTCCGTAGAGAACGCAGACGTAATCGGAGAGGTAGTCGAGGACAGACAGATCGTGCTCGACGACAATGACGTAGTCATCGTCACGGAGCAGCGAACGGATCATCTTGGCAGCACTCAGACGCTGCTTGACATCGAGGTAGGAAGAGGGCTCGTCAAACATGTAGACATCGGCCTTCTGCACGCAGACGGTACCAATGGCGAAACGCTGAAGCTCACCACCAGAGAGCAGGGTAATGTCTCGGTCCATGATGTGGTCCAGCTCCAGGACGCTGGTCACTTGGTCGATGTTTCCGAGCGAGTGTCGGCTCTCAAGAAGCTTGCGGACACTCTTCTCCGGGCCACGGACGGCCTTGGGGATCTGGTCCACATACTGGGGCTTGACAACAGCCTTGAGGTCGTCCTCCAGCAGCTTGGTGAAGTAGTCTATAATACCGGCGTTAGATGTGCTAGCCAAAAGCAAGAGGGCTTATCCTAGGGGGTGGCATTGTTGATCACTTACTCTGCAGCTCAGAGCCACGGAAGTACTTGATGACGTCCTCCCAGTCAGGGGGGTTGTCGTGGCGGCCCAAGTTGGGCTTGAGCTTTCCGCTAAGAATTTTCAAAGCGGTACTCTTGCCGATACCGTTGGTTCCAACGAGACCAAGCACCTGGCCGGGTCGCGGCATCGGCAGGCGATGGAGCTTGAAGCTGTTGGGGCCATAGCGGTGTGTGACCTGGCTCTCGAGGTTGGTGGGCAGGTTGATGATAGTAATGGCGTCGAAGGGGCACTTCTTGGGGCAGATACCGCAACCGATACACAGCGACTCGGAGATGAAGGCCAGGCGAGACTCGGGAGTGACCTCGATACAGAGCTTGCCACTGCGGACCACAGGGCACGACTTCTTACACTCCTGACGACACTTGCGAGGGCGACACTATTCGGAGAGGCCAGGGGTCAGCAAGCGAGCCCAATTGGCAGCGGGGTGGTTGGCGGGGTGCGCGGGAACTGGGCGCGTCTTCTCTTCGTCGACGAGGCGAACTTACTTTGTCAGTGTTGACAATGGCGATACTAGAAGCCACAGGTCAGCAACAGCTCTATCATGCCAATCCATCCACAGCCTGCCTGCAGCAGGGCAGCGGCCATGCATCTTTGCCGCCGGTACATACCGAGTGAGCTTGTCCGCCATGATGAAGGCTGGCGATCAATCCGTCTGCCTGATGTGCTTGTCTGGACGACTTCGTCTAGGGTAGCGACGGGCTTCGGCTCGGCGGCGCTCGTGAGAAGCAGAGATGCTCCAGCTGAAGCTGTTGAGGAGGATCAGCAGCGAGGCGATGACGCGAGAGAGGTTCAAAACAGAAGAGAAAAATCAGAATCCACGGCAGAGTGGGCGGTTTTAGCTCTTGCAGCAGAAAAAGCACCAAGCTGTGTGGTCATCAATTTTTCGCGCGCTGTGAATGGCGGGGCAGGGCAACCGGGGGGGCAGCTGGGCGGGCTGTTAGCTGCGGCGCTGGGGACATGTACTGCCCCTGCGAATTTGGCAGGCTGAAGGACCTGGCCGGATTGGCGCCGCTACCAGCCTACCCAACCACGATGGTGGGAAAAAGAGGGAACTCGGAGATGAATAAGCGCATGGAAAGCGACAACACACCAGCACCTGTGAATAGCTTCACTTCTGTGTGCACCACAATTTGATATACTCTGTTCTTCATCGACTTTGTTCCCTGTTGTTTTCTCTCCCAACTTGCAGGACACATGGCACAGATTATTTCATACGAAGCACCTTCAAATTAGTGAGTAGCTGTATAGGTCTCTTTGGTCAATCTTCTTCAAGATGTCAGCTGTAGATAATAAGCCCTCAGTATGTGATTAATGTGCGGGATAATGATATTGGCTGGATCCCATTTTAATGGGAGCTCGCTCTATGGAAGTGTATGCGAATATTCATCAGATAGATTACAATGTCGTCCGCAGGTCGGCGAAATTTGGGTACCTAGGTATCCTCTTCTCTCGAGTCACTGGATGCCAGTGTATATCCGGCAATGGTTCTCCTTTCTTTCGTTGCTTTTCTCCACCAAAAGGAATCAATCTACTGTCGACAATACCTTGCCACCTTTATCATGGCAAAGTTTGCAGGCTGTGGGATGTCAGGAAATCTTGCTGTACCTACTTAGGCTGCTGAACCATGAAACACATCGATCTTGTTTTCTTTCGTCATGGTGGAAATACGCCCAAGGCTTCCAAGGCCCATTTCGAATGCAGCAGTAGTAGGTAGGCAGTTCAAGCCAGCTCATGGTCTGGCCTTGTTGAGATTTTTACGACACTCAGGGTAAGGCCAGGAAAGTAAACTTCAGGGCCATCAGTCTAAGAGCAAATGGGTTCATTGTGGCTTTTTGTGTTAGTATATAATATGCAGTCCTCCTCCTCCATCTGTGCCTTCTACCCCCCTTCTCCTCGTCTTCTCACTTTCCAACAGCCTGGAAAGTGTGCTCTGTCAACTTTTCTCATTGCCGACTCACCTTTTCTCACCTTGACGCCAGCCGTCTTCCCCTGTCTATTGGGAGCGTATGTGCCACACCCCATACTTGCATGCCCACTTTCTCTTCACTTTTCGGGACAATACGCGACAATTGATGACATGGAACGTCAGATCCGATTGTCATGAGCATTGCCGTTGACGACAATATCACTTGCGAATACCCACTCATGATTTATCTGCTGACAATCACCAGCAGCACCTCCTCGTCCGCGACTATAAACAAGATACTGCGACCCCCCTCTCACCCCCGGCTGCAGCTATCAAGAAAAGAACAACCCAAGAAGCTGCGCCTCAAGGAAAGAGATATCAAACAGGTAGTACTTGGAATCAAGCGGTGGTTTTCACATCTTACTCACATCCCTCGTAATACTAGTAGCAAGTACTCACAATCCTCTGCAGCGCCAAGTTCGCGGGTCGACAGCGGGAGGCACGTGACTTGCAGCGGTCTCCTAGCGGCTTCAGCAGTCAGCAGAGCGCCAAACCGCCCCAACAGGGCTTGGCTTGGGTACAAACACGCCGGCCGAGCCTTCGGCCCTCCGCCCCGTTGCCTCCAATTCTTTCCTGCCTCTCTCCACCAGCGCATTTTTGTCACCTCCGGCCGTCTCTCGACACCTCAGCCCTCGTCGCCCTTCCGCCCACCGGAGCATCGCCAGACTCGCCCAAACGAGCCTGTGGCCTCCTGTCACTCCCTGAGGTGCCGCGGGCCATTGAATGATCGCTGGTGAGTCGCTGCCGTCTCCTTTGCACTCGCTGCTGCCGCCCGCAGCCCTGTTGCCCTGCGTCTCTGCCCGCTGATCCAGCCACGACTCGACCCGGACGCGTCCGTCGACCGGCTCCTCGGGGCCTGGATCCAGCCCGGGCGACGTTTGTTTTGATGAAATTGCCCGCTGCCGGTGATGCCGATGCTTCCTGGGCTCCCAGACGGGCTCCCAGGCGGTGGCCAGGCTCCCAATTGCTTGTGCCGGCGTCTGTCAGCCTTGCGAGCACTTACACACGAGGGCGGCCTTGAATTCGCAGAACTTCACGATTCCGGCGCAGTGCTGCTTCTCTGGCACTTGGTCGCGAGTCGCCGAACTCTTGTCTCACCGCCTCTTCAACGGGGCGGACGCGTAACCTCAATGTCATGGTGCTAACTGCCGTCGGCTCTGTAGGACTTCCATCTTCGCGGATATCATCACCATGTCCTCTCCCAGCGAGGGGGACCCCTCCAATGAGAATCTGTCGCCGGACGACTCCATGACATTCTCAGCCGTCGCAGACCAGCAGGCGAACGAAAGCGACATCTCCGAGGGCCTGGATGCCCCCAACAGCCCCTCTGAACACCCCTCTCCCTCCGATGCCGAAGCTTCAAACGACGAGGCGACCAACCACGCAGATGTCGACCATCACATGTCGGAAAGCGAAGCCTCGAGTGTAGCTGACGCGTCGGACGATGGCGACTTCGATATGCAAGCTACCTCGCCTTCTCAGCAGGCCAATGACGAAGAGGACGAAAATGAGGACGAAGACGATGTCACAGCCGGCCGTGCCAGCTCTTCAGACTCAAACCGAGCAGCCAAGCGCAAGGCTCCAGTAGAAGATGAATACATGAAGGCCAATCCAGAGCTGTATGGTCTTCGGAGAAGTGTATGGCTCTCTTCGCCCCAAAGCCCCTTCCCCGCTCTGCCCTCTTTGTGATCTCGGCCACTGACCTCATCCCCCTCGTTCCAGACTCGTCCTCGGGAGCAGCGCAAATCAATGGTATGCTACTTGCCCTTTGAAATCGATCTGACCGAGTCGCATCGGATTCTAATAGTACCAGGTCATTTCGGAGTCAGAATCAGATGTTGCGCCAACAAGTCGTCGCCAGAACAAGCGTCGCCGCGTTGAAAGGTCCCATACATGTGAGTCTTGATGCTACTGCTTGCACTGGACGCTGTACTAACAGCACCGGACTGTAGCCTCGAAAAGGGGAACACCCGTCCTGCCACCCTCAGCCAACGATTCCGACTCGGATGACGCCGACACATATGGCGGAGCTCGCGCAAAGAGCCAGCGGAAGAAGGCCAGGCAGCAGCTCGAGAGACAACCAGCCTTGGCCCTTGCCGAGAAGCGGTGGTCGAGCCGCCGTGCGGCGCAACAAGTCGCAGAGGGCGGTTACCACGAGAGCGACTTCGAGGATGAAGATGAGGAAGACGCAGAGCTTGCCGCATCCTACTACACCACCGACTATGTCGACAACTCCCCCTACATCGAAAAAGTAGTCAAGCATCGACTCAGAGACGGCCACGAGCTGACCTACGACTCTACTCGCAATGACTTTGAATACTTCATCAAGTGGCAGGGAAAGTCACATCTGCACGATACGTGGGAGTTACTCGAGACTCTGCGCAATGTCCGCGGCTTTCGCAAGGTTGAAAATTACTTCAGAAAATTTGTCGACCAGGAGCTTGACATTCGCTTTGGGGATGACATTCCTCCCGAGACAAAGGAGCAATTCTTCCTTGATCGCGATCGTGATGAGGAGGCTCTCGAAGATTATACAAAGGTTGAGCGGGTCGTCGCTGTGCGGGATGGAGAGGACGATGACGAGTACTTTGTCAAGTGGAAGGGTCTCACCTACGAAGAGTGCACCTGGGAGGCCGCGTCGGACATCAGCGGCCAGTTCCAGGACAAGATCGATCAGTTCATCGACCGGTCCTCAAGAAACTGGCAGTCGGACAAGAAGGAGACCAACCTCGACACCCGGTCCAAGATGACCAAGCTGGAGAAGCAGCCCGACTTCATCGTCGGCGGCGAGCTTCGTGAATTCCAGTTGAAGGGCCTCAACTTCCTGTGCCTCAACTGGACCCGCGGCAACAACGTCATCCTCGCTGACGAGATGGGTCTGGGCAAGACGGTGCAGACGGTGTCGTTCCTCAGCTGGCTGCGCAACGCCAGGCGCCAGGAAGGGCCCTCTCTTGTCGTTGCCCCGCTCAGTGTTATCCCTGCTTGGTGCGACACATTCAACAACTGGTCACCAGATATCAACTACGTGGTCTATCTCGGGCCAGAGGACGCCCGAAGCATCATCCGCGAGAATGAGCTCCTTATCAATGGTAACCCAAAGAAGCCCAAGTTCAATGTCCTGGTCACCTCCTACGAGTTCATCCTGCAGGATTGGCAGTTCCTCCAGTCCATCAAGTGGCAGGTGCTGGCCGTTGATGAGGCCCATCGCCTCAAGAATAGCGAATCCCAGCTATACCAACGCTTGCTGGGTTTTGGCATCCCTTGCAAGATTCTCATCACCGGCACCCCCATTCAGAACAATCTGGCCGAGCTCTCTGCCCTTCTCGACTTCTTGAATCCTGGCAAAGTGAGTATCGATGAGGATTTGGACTCTCTCTCTGCTGCCGACGCCCAAGAGAAGCTGCAAGAGCTTCACCGCTCCATTGCCCCGTATATCTTGCGACGTACCAAGGAGACTGTCGAGTCCGACTTGCCACCCAAGACGGAGAAGATTATCAGAGTCGAGCTGTCGGACGTGCAGTTGGAGTACTACAAGAACATCCTCACGCGAAACTACGCTGCCCTGTGCGATGCCACCAACGGCCACAAGAACTCACTTCTCAACATCATGATGGAGCTGAAGAAGGTCAGCAACCACCCGTACATGTTCCCTGGAGCAGAGGAGAGGGTTCTGGCTGGCAGCACACGTCGCGAGGATCAAATCAAGGGCTTGATTGCAAGCAGTGGCAAGATGATGTTGATTGACCAGCTTCTGTCCAAGCTGAAAAAGGACGGACACCGAGTCTTGATCTTCAGCCAGATGGTCAAGATGCTGGACATTCTTGGCGACTACCTCTCCCTCAGGGGCTACAAGTTCCAGAGACTCGACGGCACCATCGCCGCCGGCCCGCGACGCATGGCCATCAACCATTTCAATGCCGAGGACAGCGAGGACTTTTGCTTCTTGCTGTCCACTCGTGCTGGTGGTCTCGGCATCAATTTGATGACTGCAGACACCGTCATCATCTTTGATTCTGACTGGAACCCTCAAGCAGACCTGCAGGCCATGGCTCGAGCTCACCGCATCGGGCAGAAGCGGCCGGTCAACATCTACCGACTCGTGTCGAAAGAGACAGTGGAGGAAGAGGTTCTCGAGCGTGCTCGCAACAAGCTTCTCCTGGAATACCTGACCATTCAGGCTGGTGTTACCGATGACGGAAAAGCCAAGTTCAAAGAGGAGCTCAACAAGAAGGGTCTCAAGATTGACGGCCCGTCCACCTCGGAGGATATCCAGATGGTGCTGAAGATGCGATCCTCCAAGATGTTTGAACAGAGCGGCAACCAGCAGCGACTGGAGCAGCTCGACATTGACTCCATCCTGGAGAATGCCGAAATTACAAAGACCAAGGTTGACGACAAGATTAATTTGAGCAGTGGTGGCATTGACTGGGACAACTTCATGCAAATCACCGACGTCAAGGTGGATGATATCAACCTCGACTGGGACCAGATCATTCCCGCAGAGAAGCTCGCCGAGATTAAGGCGGAAGAGGAGAAGAAGCAGCACGAAGATTATCTCGCACAGGTCGCAGCCGAAAGCGCGCCGCGAAGAGCGACGATGAAGAGTCGCACCAAGGAAACGGATCGCGCAGACCGTCTCAAGAAGCGCCAGAGGGAGCAGCAGCAGGAAGAGGAAGAGCAGCGCGCCTTTTTGCGGGATCCCAAGCGCCCCTTGAACGACAAGGAGCAGCGAAACTTGATCAAGGCCTACTTCAGGTTCGGTTCGATGGAAGATCGGAGCGCCGACATTATCCAAGAGGCCAAGCTTGGGGAGAGAGACCCCGAGTATGTCAAGTCGGTCCTCGACGACTTCATCAAGGCTGCTCAGCAGGCTGTGGATGACAATAGCGCCAAGTTAGCCGAAGAGGAGAAGAAGATGGGCAAGACGTTGACCAAGAAGGACAAGAAGGCAGTCTTGATCGACTTTGGCGAACTGAAAAAGGTCAATGCCGAGACGGCCATCGAGCGGCCCAAGCAGCTGCAGCTTCTCCGCCAGGTGATTCAAAGCCATGCAGATTGGAGGACGTTCCGGGTGCCCGACGCCACCAAGGCCGCCAACTATAGCTGCCCCTGGGGAGCGAAGGAAGATGCCATGCTCCTCGTCGGCATCGACAAGCACGGGTTCGGCGCATGGGCCCAGATCCGCGACGATCCCGAGCTGGAAATGCAGGACAAGCTCTTCCTGGAAGAGCACCGAGTGGGCAAGAAGGAGGAGAGGTCCAAAGGTAACGACAAGCTCAAAGCTCCGGGAGCCGTCCACCTTGTGCGCAGGTCAGAATATCTCCTTTCCGTGCTGCAGTCCAAGCATTCGAATGATCGGTCGGTCCAGAAGGCGGTGGAGAATCACCATCGCAACAACAAGAAACTCCACGCGGTCAATGGCAACCGCAGCAGCAACTCAGCGACGGTTCCTTCAGGTCTCAAGAGGCAACGAGAGCGCGAGAAGGATCGAGGATCGTCTGAGCAGCGTTCGCGCAATCCCGCAGAGGAGGGCGGATTGGCGAGGCTTGACTTCAAGCGCAAGCCTGCGTCCCACGAAGACGTTCGCAGCCCCAAGCATCGACGCTCTGAAGACCCGCGTCGGGCTAGCAAGACTGGGGATGAGCCTCGCGACAGCCGAATCGAGAAGCGGCGGCCCCGCGAAGACGACGATCGCCGTGCTGACAGATATCGCCACCGCGACGACTATCGCCGCGACGATTATCGACGGGATGACCGCCGAGATGACCGCCGAGATGACCGCCGAGACGACCGCCGAGATGATTACCGGCGGGACGACCGTCGCGATGACCGGCGTGATCGAGATCGGGATAGAGAGCGTGACCGAGAGCGTGAGCGGGATCGGGACCGTGATCATCATCGGGACCGCGACCGTGACCGTGACCGCGAGCGAGAGCGAGATCGCGATCGTGACCATCACCGCGACCACCATCGTGAACGTGATCGGGATCATCACCGCTCAGACCGCGACCGGGACCGCGACCGAAACCACGCAAGCCGGCCCCTGGACGAGCGCAGGGTCAAGGCACTGCGGAGGCTGGACGAGCTGCGGCGCATTGGCGACGACAAGGATCAACGAGCCAGGGACAATGACGCCATGATCTGGTTCCTCTTGAAGCCAGTCAGAGAGAACTTTGAGAAGATCCTGTCGACGACCAAGGACAATGTCAGATCGAGCAAGGAGCGCGCGTCCATCTTTGGCACTGAGCTGGTGGCCATCGGGTCGTTCCTCGACGAGAAGCTGCCGGCAACCATTGCAGACGACGGCCTGAAGAAGAACTTTTGGTAAGTCGACGTCGGCTACTGATTCCGGCGCCATTGTCGACTCTCTATGTGCTAACATGTGTATGTTTTGTAGGGACTTTTTGGCAGCCCTCTGGCCCGTGGACGACACCACTCAGAGCGTCACAGGCGACAGACTGAGCTCCATGTACCGCACACTCCACGCTCGAAACAAGGAGAAGAAGGCAGAATCCGGTGCCTCAAAGCTCAATGGCACACATCCTGTTCGGTGATTACCAACCACTGCAACGACAGAAAACATATTTCAAAGAAAAAAAAAAGAAAAAGCAAAGATCCAGGGGCTCCTTGACGTCTAGATCTGTTCCGCGACGAGTTTATAAAGAAAAGAACCTGACATTTCATCTGCATCGTCTGGCGTTTGGTAACAGGTGGCTTACGGTTCAGCCACCAAAGACTTTGGCTGCAACACACATACCCGGTTCTGCATGAAGGAGAGAGGAGGAGGGGAGGAGATGACACGCGTTGCGAAGCTTGTCCATGCCCGGCAGGCCGGCTTGACAGAGACCTTTGACGCCACAGTGCCGGTCTGCTGTATGCCGAGCTGATCTTGAGAGTGTTGTTTATTCTGTTTGACCGCGGTTGAAGAGGGAAGGGGGCGCGGAGAGGAGGTTTCCAACAATTTGCTTCTCTATCTTTGCCCCCCTCTTCTATTTCTCGTTCTTGTCTGTGTTTTTATCCACTCTTGATGGCAAGGGGCCTCGAATGTCGTCAGACGGCGGTACGGTTCACACCACACTTTTCTTCTTCGGTTACGGAGGGAGGGAGGGGGCTGAGGAGAAGGTTGGTTTGCATTGCCTTTGGTCCATGAGTGTAATATGAGCGGCTATATGTCCCCTTGTTCGTCTTTCATTTCTTTCATATTGTGAGGGGTCTTGCTTTTCTTTACATACCGCTCCGTCTTTGTTGCCCGGGTATTAATTAGAGGAGATGGGCTGAATAAGTCTGACGGTCAAGGCTGGTTGGTATCTGTTGTTTTTGTTCTTACTGAGAGCCAAGGCATGATGGGCGAGCTCCAAGTCCAGCCTGAGGCGGCGAGAGAAGTATCTACTGCTAGCAAAGCAGGTCGTATTAGATGCCTTATTTAGGTAGTAGATGAATACGAAATGGAGTAAAATGATTTAAAAAAAAATTAAAAATAAAATAAAAATAAGAAAGCCATTGCATGTGCTGCGTATCCTGTGATGTCGATTATTGGTTTTGGCGGGCATGTGTGGATTGTACAAGTTTCATCAGCGGGATGCTCTCAGCTCAGAGTACCTACCTCCTACATACTACATACATACTACGGCCTCTTGGATCCTTCACTTCTACATACATATTCACTCACCTTATAAGATCTATTCCCCCCTAATTCTCGTCATTTTTCTCTCGCCTTCAATTCAATTCGCCCAACACCCGCCGCCATGCCTCTCCCCCTCCCCCTCACCAAGCACATCGCCGAGCTCACCGTCCTGCGCGCCGCCCTGCTCACCCGGCGCGTCATGACGTCGGTCACCAGCAGCAGCAGCAACTCCTCGTCTTCCTCTTCTTCCTCAGCAATCACCAAGCACGACGCCACGCCCGTGACAAAGGCCGACTTTGGCGCCCAGGCGCTGCTCATGGCCTCCCTGCGCAGCTTCTTCCCGCACGACAGCTTCGTAGGCGAAGAAGACGCCGAGGCGCTGCGCAGCGACTCGCAGCTGGCCGAGGCCGTGTGGGCGCTTGTGAAGGAGGCGTGCAGCGACTTTCAAGTTCAAGAAGGAGGAGGAGGAGAAAAGCTCGAGTCCATCATCATCAACAACAATGCAGACGGCAGCAGCAGGACGACGACGACGACGAGTAGTCTGCCTGGTCCGGCGTCGTTGGAGGAAATGCTCGAGCTGCTGGACCTGGCCGGGCGCGGACAGCCGGGGCCGCGGGGCCGGTTCTGGATCATGGATCCGGTGGACGGGACGGCGTCGTTTCTCAGGGGCCAGCAGTACGCCGTGTCGCTGGCGCTGGTCGAGGACGGGCGCGAGGTGCTCGGCGTGGTGTGCTATCCGAACCTCGGCCTCGACGGCGGTGGTGGTGGTGGGATCGTGGCGGAGACGAGCGTCGACGTGCACGGCTGCGGCGTCATGCTGTCGTCCATCCGCGGCGAGGGCACCGACTATCGCAGGCTACTGTCGACGGAGCCCACCGGTCTCGGTCCGGCGAGGAAGCTCGACCGCCTCTCTCCTCCCGCTGATCTCTCGGCCCTGCGCTTCGTGGACTGTCTCGCTAGCAAGTCGTCCCGCCTCGACATTGCTGAGGGGTTGGCTAGGCAGATTGGTGCGCTGCCGTTTCCGGGGGTGGACTTGTGGTCGTCGCACGTGCGGTATGCGGCGCTGATGCTTGGTGATGATGATGATGATGGCGGCAACAAGGAGCAGGAGGAGAAGAAGGGGAGGAATAGGCATGTCATGATCCGCGTGCCTGTGGGTGCCAAGGGGGAGCCCTCGCGCGCGTGCGTCTGGGATCATGCGGGCTCGCAGCTGCTGTACACGGAAATGGGCGGCAAGGTGACGGACCTCGAGGGCCGCGAGATGGACTTTGGGAGGGGGAGGACGCTGGCGGGCAACTGGGGGCTTGTGGCGGCGCCGGAGGGGGTCCATGGGGAGGTGTTGAGGCTGGTGAGGGAATGGATCGAGAGGGATCCTGTTATCCAGGGGGGTGGTGCTGCCTAAGTAAGGGGGAGGCAGTTGGATGTAGGACGAGAGACAGGGGAAGAGGGTAATCGGAAAGAGGAAGATGTGAAAAAGTTGGCATAATGGTGTCGCTACTATAGCAAGCTGCTGTCCCGTCATGCCCATGATTACTTTGTTATATATACCACGTATGATCTATCTACCGCCATTATTCTAGGCTTGACTCGGGCTCAGTCAGTCTTATCCCCCTTCACCCCCCCCCCCCCCCCCCCCTTTCAAGCCATTGATTTCTATATTTATATACATACAGACAGCATCCATTGACGACATCTCTCTCAATGTTCATCTCCCCTTATTCCTCCTCTTCAATCTCTCTTCCTGAAGTCTCACATCAAGCTACTCCGCCCCCCAATCTCCATACTCCCCTGCCCATCCTTCATCTGCCCGCTCCGTCCCACCACAAACTCGTGATAAATCTTCTGCAGCCGCGCCTTCTCGTCCTTGCCGATACTCGCCCGCGTGCTCTCCAGCGCCTTGGTCAGATGAGACCAGCCCACCACGACCTCGCGCTGATCGGCCGCCGCCGCCCCCTTACCCTCCGCATCGTCCGCGCCGCCAGCACCGCCTCGGCGCGCTTCCTTGGCTTTGCGGCGCGCCATCTTGATCTGCTCCAGCTTGGACAGGATCGCGGCGTTTTCGACGAGCGCGGCAGAGCGGCTCTTGGCTGCTGCTTCGGGAGCGGCCTCCTCGTCCACGCCGTAGCGAAACTGCGTGAAGCTCGTCGCGGAAGCGCCCTTGCCGTCCTTTCCGCGTCGGGATGCAGACGTCGAACTGCTCGTGTTGGGGTTGTTGTTCATGTCACCCAGGACATCGTGAATGGCCTCCAGCTGCGCGTTGGACACCAGCGCCTGCAGATCAGCACCCGAGTATCCCTCCGTCTTGAGCGCAATCGACGTCAGCGCCTCGTCCGACTCCGTCAGCTCGCTCGACAGCCGGACCTTTTGCAGCATCGCCTTAATAATGTCGACGCGGTCCTCCAGTGACGGCAGATCGCACAGCAGCGACTTGTCCAACCGGCCAGGACGCAGCAGCGCCGGGTCGATGAGGTCAGGCCGCGACGTGGCCGCCAGGACGTACACCCCTGACAGGCCCTCGGCACCGTCCATCTGCGTGAGCAGCTGGTTCACCACACGGTCCGTCACGCCCGTAGAGTCGTGCCCACGCTTGGGCGCGATGGAGTCGAACTCGTCAAAGAATAGCACGCAGGGCTTTGCCGCCGAGGCCCGGTCAAAGAGGTCGCGCACGCTCTTTTCGGACGCACCAATGTACTTGTTGAGAATCTCGGGACCCTTGACGCTGATGAAGTTGAGGCCGCATTCTCCCGCGACGGCGCTGGCCAGGAGCGTTTTGCCGCAGCCAGGGAAGCCGTAGAGGAGAAGGCCGGATCGTAGACGCAGGGGGCACTGCGAGAAGATGGGTGCGTATTTTGTCGGGTACTGCAGCGTCTCGAGGAGGACCTGTCTTGTCTCCTGCAGACCGCCAATGGACTTGAATGTCGTTGTCGAGCTCTGTAGGGATACGTTGCGCAACGATGCCGGCGTGAACCCCTTGATGGCCTTGTCGAAGTCCACGCGGCTGAGATGCACAGCTCCGATGGTGTCGTCGGGCGTCAGGTTGATGGATCGGATAATGGCTTCGTTCCGTGCTCTGGCAATGAGAACTGTCAGGTCACCGGGCAGATAGCCGTCAGTCTGGCCGGCAATGTCGAGGAAATCGAGGTCCTGATCCAGTATGAAGCCGCCTGTCTTGCCAGGAGCGCCGTCTTCATGGCCGTTGGCAAGCGAGTCATTGCCGTGAAGCCAGTCGCTCGCTTCTTCGGAGGTTTCCGTGCCGTTGGCGGTTACTGGCCGACTGCCATCGACAGGCTGCCCTGATGCCTCGTCCTGAGCGATCGCATTCTGCTTCACGATGGCCTCCATAATCTTCCGCCGGCCATCCTTATCTGGGGCCTTGAGCTCGATGATCTCGCGGACGACGTGGCCACTGACAACGACGCTGTTCAGAGTATCTTTGCCCTCTGCCGTTGCCAGCAATGTGACGCCGCTCTCCTTGCTGCAGTACTGCCGCACAACAGATCGAATCGTTTCGCTGACTTGACGACTTCGGCCATTGTCGTTTCCAACCTGCAGCTCAGTCTCTACCGGGCTGAGCTTGTCCAGATCGTCAAGAACAACAAGAGCCTTGCCACCCAGCCTTGCGCCCCAGCTGGCCAACATGAATATGCGGTTAAGAGTTTCCTTGATAGTTGATATTCTCGCCTCGTCTGTGACCAGTTTGCGGCACGAAAAGTAGATTGTGTAGAAGAGAGCCTCCTCGCGCAGCCGGCTGGCAAGATACCTGGCCACAGACGTCTTGCCGGAGCCCTTTGTGCCCGTCAGCAGGACCGAGGACATGTGAGCGAGATGTGACTGGAGGTTTGCGAGCAGCGTGTCGATGCCGACGAGCAGTGAATCGTGTGACGGCTGCAACTCGAATATGTCCGTCTCGGAGGTCCAGGGCGGTCGCGGTACTGGCTGCTGGAAGTCAATGGGCACCTTCGCATCCACGCCGGCCATCCACAGAGCCGCGTCCTTGTTCTGCTCCTGTGACGCGACATCTGAACTGTACTCGAACTTGATGATGCCCCCTTCCCATCCTTGCGGAGCCTCCAGCCCGTCGTACAGATCAACAACAAGACCGTCAGTTATGGGCCCTTGTAGGAGGCCCTCAGATCCCTTGGGCCCAGAGTAAATGTGTCTGAATCGCTTCGTAGACTCCTCCTTTTCCGCCTTCGTCTCAATGCCGAATCGCAAACCCTCGCCTACTTTAGAGCCAGCCGCAAAAGGGAACACTTTGATCTGCTGAACCGCCCCCCGGGGCAGAGGCTGGGGCGCAGCCTGAATCTTGACGATGCCTCCAACGATGCCCGTACACCCAAGCGCAGCACACAATGGCGCTGACAATGCCGCAGCCTGGCCGTTGGGCGGATCGTCCCACGGCTTCAGCTTCGCGACAATCTTGGAAGACGCATTGCTCGCCGCCGCAGCAGCTGCGTCCTCGGGCTGTGGTTTCTGCAGTCCCGCCGGCTTGAGAACATCCACCACGACATAATTGACGCCCCTGAACTCGTTGGTCAGGACGTAGTCGCGGTCCACCCAGACGCAGAGACCGGGCTCCGCAATGCCCTCGTCAAACCATTCGTTGCAGGCGGCGCGATCAATGGCGCGGAGCAACAAGGACGGCCTCTTCTCCTCCCTGGCGCTCCGCCTCCGGATGGTGCTGGCTCCGCTCCTCTTGGATTTCGATGTGCTCGCGACGCTTCGGTGGTCGCCACTGCTCTGTGACGTCTTGGCTCTCGTTTTCGGCGCGACAATGACTTCGGCGTTGGGCGAGAGCTTGACAAAGGCCACGTCAGCCGCCGGCGCGGGCTCGAGGGACGTGATCTTGATAACGGCCGTCGAAGTCGGTGACAGATGCAGCGTCAATGGATGTGCCGGGACCGGAGCGCCGCCAGCAGGGGTATACGCCGGGTTGGGAAGCGCGCGTATCTGGGACTGCAGGTTGAGCTCGAGGAAGGTCGCATGCAGCTCGATAATCTCCCAGTCCTCGGGCGTCAGCGGCTCGATGTTGATGGTGTGAGCCAGCGGAGGGTCGACGTGGACCGTGGCCATGACCCTTTCGCCGTCCGTCAGGCCGAGCGTGTTTGCAAAGGTCGCGTCGATCTCGACCAGCTGGACCTCCTGATCCCGCGCTGAGCCGCGCGAGCTGGCCAGTCCGTCCCGGCCTACCAGCTGCGCGGCCCTCCTCTTGCTCGGCATCCCCGTCCATCCTACGAAGACGGACTGCTCCTTGGGCGCTCCGCCGGTCTGCGCGCTGGAGGGAGACGGTCGGTATGTGAGTTCGACGACGACATTCTGGGCGGGCTGTGAGGCAAGGAAGACGGTTAGTCGTGTCAGGCAGTGCCATCGCGGCCAAGGGCATTGAGCTGATGGAGTGGAAAGGAGTAGCTCTTTCTCCCGGGTGACGTACAGTGTTGACATTGACGAGCAAGTTCACCAATGAAGCAGGGAGGTTGACGAGGCAGTTCTTGAGATGCACCAGAGACAGCTCGGCAGCGGTCGACTGCGCGTTTCGTCTGGGCGCCATGGCTGGAATAATGGCAGAAGAACTGCGTCCTTGTCAGGTCATGAGAGCAGGACCGGGCGCAAGGAGAGCTCAGGTGCGGCTGCAGCCACGGCGAAGCTATTCCGCGTCTGCTGGGGACTCGAGCTTGAGCCGAGGCAAGGCTCACGTGCCGACAGGCCGGAGTGACCAGGGGGAGACTTGGTAATCGCTGTGAAGTGGGCTGGGGCCGAGGTACCTACTAGTACATGTACAACAATGAGGCTGCCGGCAGGAGATGGTGATGCTAGAGAGGTACGGCAATACTGAGAATAAGGAGATAGATGAGTTAGTCTAATATCACAGGAAAAGCTAGTCGGAAAGAGTTATATCAGAATATTAATCACAGCTGTAACTGCACGTATTGTATGCTGAGTTCCACCCTCATCTCAGCTGTCATCTCTGGGCATGCTCTTCAGCTTCAAGTTCATTTCCAGGACAGCTGTGGCTGGTGTCGACTCTCACAGCTCCAGCTGTGGCTGACTCCCGGTACGTACCTCTTGATTGGCTTTTGAACGCGTCGCGCGTCTGTCTCGCGTCAAGGCACAGCATTTTCGACGAGCTCTCCCAAAGCTCTGCCAATTCCTCCTGACTAACGCACGCATCTGCATCCCTGCAAGTTTGGTTTCCCAGCCCACCAATTTGTGCATCGCAGCGCATCGCATCTGCTCGCCTCTCTTTTTCTTGCTGCGATTGCGTTCTCTTCCTGTTCCTCTCTCTCGCTCACTCAACGAGCCCCTGTTCCCTCTCTCCAGGCGTTGATATCGGGCATCACCACGCAAAATGGCGCTCCGCGAGTTTAAAGCGCCGGTCAACTACGAGACGCAGCAGTGTAGGTTCTTGATCTTGTTGACATGGGCCACCTGCTTCTTTAAAGACAGAGATCGCCAATGCTGACTTCTGTGTAGCTGCGTTCGAATCCTTCCTCAAGGACTTCAAGACCTCGCCCGAGCACACCCTCACCACCGCCCTCGGCAACATCACAATCGACGAAGATGACCTCAGCGACGAGGACGACCTCATGGACGAGGACGACCAGACTCGTCAGCGCCGCCAGCAGGAGCGCGCCAAGAGGAAAACGCCCCAGCACAAGTACAGCGACATGCTGCAGCTGCTGGCGGACCGCAAGATTGACGAGTTCCCCATCGATCTGGACGACCTAGCTACTGTGAGTGCAAGCCGGACACGGATGGACAATGCGTGCGAGCGAATGTGCGCCAGGGTGCTGACTGCCGGCAGTGGGAGTCGCAAACAGACGAGTCAATGCAGCTCGTGGACTCGATTGAGATGAACACGAAGCACTACGTCGAGATCATGTCCAGGGCGATAGACAACGTCATGCCTCAGCCGAGCGAGGAGGTCAAGTATGACAAACTCTCCACTGCAGACGGGTAAGGAAAGAGAGCGACTCTTGCTGACAGGAATTTCTAGCTTCAAAGACGACGTTCTAGATGTGTTGATGGCCCGGCGGCAGGCCAGGAATCGAGAGCTCGACGTATTGGCCGACAGAGATCCCACCATCCTCGAGGACAAGTTCCCCGCTGAGCTCACCCGTCGATACACGCTCGTCTTCAGGCCTCGGACAGCCGTTGAGGACGGTGCCTCAAAGGCCCTGGCTGTCCGACATGTGCGCGGCGAGCACCTCGGCCACCTCATCACCGTCCGAGCCATCGCCACGCGCGTCTCCGACGTCAAGCCCATTGTGCAGGTCAGCGCATACACGTGCGACCGCTGCGGCTGCGAAATCTTCCAACCCATCGCCGACAAGCAGTACGGTCCCCTGACCATGTGCCCCTCGTCCGACTGCAAGAAGAACCAGGCCAAGGGCCAGCTGCACCCCTCATCCAGAGCGTCCAAGTTCTTGCCCTTCCAGGAGGTCAAGGTGCAAGAGCTGGCTGAGCAGGTTCCCATTGGCCAGATCCCGCGATCTCTCACGGTGCACTGCTTTGGCAGCCTGGTTCGAAAAGTCAACCCTGGTGACGTCGTCGACATCTCTGGCATTTTCTTGCCCACGCCCTACACCGGCTTCAAGGCCATCAGGGCTGGTCTGCTGACTGACACGTACCTTGAGGCTCACCACATTCACCAGCACAAAAAGGCTTACAGCGAGATGATTGTCGACCCTCAGCTCGTTCGAAGAATCGATAGATACCGACAGTCTGGCCAAGTCTACGAGCTGCTCGCCAAGTCGATTGCCCCTGAAATCTTTGGCCATCTAGACGTCAAGAAGGCTCTTTTGCTGCTTCTCATTGGCGGTGTCACCAAGGAGATGGGCGACGGTATGAAGATTCGTGGCGACATCAACATCTGCCTGATGGGTGATCCCGGTGTTGCCAAGTCTCAGATGCTGAAGTACATCTCCAAAGTGGCCCCGCGCGGTGTCTATACCTCAGGTCGCGGAAGCAGTGGCGTCGGTCTCACTGCCGCCGTCATGCGAGACCCGGTCACGGACGAGATGGTTCTGGAAGGTGGTGCGCTTGTGCTCGCTGACAACGGCATCTGCTGCATCGACGAATTCGACAAGATGGATGAGAATGACCGCACGGCCATCCACGAAGTCATGGAACAGCAGACCATTTCCATCTCCAAGGCCGGCATCTCCACGAGCCTCAACGCCCGAACTTCGATCCTAGCAGCCGCTAACCCGGTCTATGGCCGATACAACCCTCGCATCTCTCCCGTCGAAAACATCAACCTCCCCGCTGCCCTCCTGTCTCGTTTCGATATCCTTTTCCTGCTCCTCGATACCCCCACCCGAGACACGGACGAACAGCTGGCCAAGCACGTCACCTACGTCCACATGAACAACCGACATCCCGACCTCGGCACCGACAACGTCGTCTTCTCTCCCCACGAAGTGCGATCTTACGTCGCCCAGGCCCGAACCTATCGACCAGTCGTCCCCGAGTCCGTCTCCGAGTACATGATCAAGACGTACGTCCGTCTGCGAGACCAGCAGCAGCGAGCGGAGAAGAAGGGCAAGCAGTTTACGCACACCACGCCACGTACCCTGCTGGGCGTGGTGCGTCTGGCCCAGGCCCTCGCCCGTCTCCGTTTCAGCAACCAGGTAACGCAAGATGATGTCGACGAGGCCTTGCGGCTCGTCGAAGCCAGTAAGGAGAGCTTGAACACGGACGCCGGCGGCCCTCGGCGCGGCCTCAACGCCAGCAGCAGGATCTACAACCTCGTCAAGGCCCTGGCCGACTCGGGCGCTTGCCGCCCTGATGATGCGGATGAAGACGATGAGCTGGGCGTTGAGCTGAGCATGAGGAAGGTCAAGGAGCGTGTCATTGCCAAGGGCTTCACGGAGGACCAGTGGCTGAATGCCCTGGAAGAATACACCACTTTGGATGTGAGTTATCTCTTTCACTACTGCGAACGACGCTTCTCTTCACTTCATATTCTAACACTACTTTCCCTCTTAGGTTTGGCAAACTGCTGGCGGCGGCTCAAGGCTAGTCTTTGTGACTGCGGACGATGACAGAGAAGACAGCATGGAAGAGTAAGATGGTTATATGCTTCAAGTTGAGTTGGGTTGGGGGTCACACTTTTGGGTTCGTTATCTTTTTTTTTTCTCTAAAAAATGGGTTGGCGTTTCATCTTGTTATTGGACACCCTTGAATGTTTCAAAGGGGTGTAGAGGAAGATGGGGAGTGCCATTTGGTAGAACTTGCGGTTAGATCTTGTAAGAGGCCAAATGAAAAGAAGTTAAACGATCGTGCCATACCGATGAATCTGCTACAAGTCAATGATTAGAAAAACTCCCAAGTAGATAAGACATTACCAACACATAATGACGTACCTATGCAGTAGAAACTTCAAGGGCGGTATATCATTTATATATAGTACATATTCATACAACATCTTTTTGAACCCCCTTTTTTTCCTTTTCCCCCATTCATTCAGTCATCCAACTCCCCCTATTTTGATATCTTCTTTTGGGGTTTTCCTTCAAATTTACATCCTCATTGTGATGAGCGAAGCCCTCTCCATCTCTCCCACAATGCCATGCCCTCCCAAAGCCCACTTCTCCGCCACGACCCTCGAATCAAGCACACTGCGCAGCATCCCGCTGGCGCCCCAGTACTCCATCAGCACCCTGGCCTCCTCCTTGGAGACGCCCTCGAGACGCATCACGGTGCTGTTCTTGAGTGCATCATACACCCTGTCGTCGTACTTTCGCTCATAAGGGTCAGGCTTCGGCACCGGCTTGCCCGCCTGTCCGGCCTCGAGCTGCGACAAGGCGAGCTCCTGCGACGGGTGGAAGTGGGTGTTGTTCTGGGAGGTGGCAGCGATGACGGCGCCGCCGTTGGGGAGCTTCGTCTTTCCGGACAGCGCATCGACAAAGGTGCGCACGAGGAGCAGCTCGTGCGCGTGCACGGGGTTGAAGGCGGGGTCGCGATACGCGCTGACCTTGTTGATGTGGGCGAGGCCGTCGAGGGTCAGCAGCACGGGGGGCTGCCCGGGCTGCGTCAGCTCCGTCCACAGCGCCGACAGCGTGGGCCAGGCGAACTCGCTCTCCTTTGCGCTGAGGGCGAGGTCGGCCAGCGTGGAGCCCGGCTTGAGCGTCGCCGACAGGCGGGACCAGTCCTGCTTCAGGGGCGTCTTCTCCAGGACGGCCCTGTTGGCCTTGTAGATGTTCTGGAGCAGCTTCAGGCAGTACACGGGCTGGGTGAACTGCATGGGTTCCGTGTCAGGGACGGGGGAGTACTCTGTGTTTCCGTTGGTAAGATCTTGGCCTGGACAAGACAAAAGTCAGCAAATTGTGCTCTTTCTTTTTCTTTTCCTCCCTTCCAACACACGACATTGATACTCCGTTGTCAGTCATAAGAGAGTGTCTGCGAATACGTACCCTCCGGGATATGAATCACCACCCACTCGTTCAGCAGCGCATACGACATGGCCTGCAACAGCATCAAGCTCTTGCCCGAAAGCCGGCTCCCCGTGAGCACGCACTTAAACGCCTCCTTCTTCTCCAGCGAAGCCTCTAGCCGGCCCATCAGCTCGACCGTCTCCTTGCGGACGAGCACGTGCGGCTTCCGGAACAGGTTCCACGTCTGCGTGCTCTTGAACGCTTCCAGCGCCCTCAGCTGGTCCACCACCTCGTCCGGCACGGCGAACATCCTCCCCGAGCTCTCCGCCCGGGCCATGGTCTGCGCCTCGAGCGCGTCCAGCCCGGCCACGGGGAGCGCGCTGTTGTTGCTCAGCTGGATGCGCTTGCGGAAGGCCTTGCGCTCGCCGGGGGCGGGCTTCTTGACGGGCACAATGTTCTGCTTCTTCTTGTACGTCTTCTTCGTCTTCTTCGGGAGGTCCTTGCGGTTCTTGATGGCGGGCGGCGCGGCAGCGGAGACGAGGCTGGTGGTGGAGAAGGCGGCGATGATGATGGGCTGGATGCGAGGCGCAACGGGGAGCGAGGGCCTCACGAGGCTCCTCAGCGATATGGAGGCCATGGTTTCGTGAGAGGTTCTGGAGGGGGGGGGGGTGTCAAAGAGCCGAGCAGGAGGAAGAGATTGCGAGACCCTCGTGTGTCTCGTATCGTGTCAGTGAACCGTGTCTATCGTCACCGCATTGAGGCCCGAAGCGCGGCGTCGTTTGAGTATTGCGATCGATTTCCCCCCCACGTCAATTTTTCGTGAAGGTCTTTGGTTTGGAGGTTTTGGTTTCCAATTGAGTCCAAAAATCTCAAAGTCGCATGGGTACCTGTGGAGGGGCCACCAGCCTCGTACCACTTGCCGCAGACTGCAGCGCTAAAGATACAAGGCCAGCAATGTACCCTTCTGGGCGTCTGCTTCTGAAGATCTACTAACCTGAGTAGCGCCCTCCAGTCAAAGTTCCAGCAAAGCCCCGGAAAATTGCAGCCCGTTGATCCGATGCAGGAAAGCTTTATCGCAACAATTGAGAGCGTCTTATCGACAAAGGAAAGGAAAAAAAAAAAAAGTTGGAAAGTTGACGACCATCAACATCGCCATACAATTTGCGACACAACATCATCATCAGCCTCCTCAAACGTCAACTTTTCCCAATTCACCAACCAGAACAAATCGCAACACCATTCACTTAAAATATTGAGAACAGCATCAACACAAAATGGCCGTCTCCATCTCCAACAAACCAAAGCTCCCCGTCGTCGTCGAGAAGCCGACCCCCTACACCTTCGACCTCGGCCTCCTCCTCGCCGAGGACCCCAACCCCGTCGCCCTCGACCCCTCGGCCATCGACGCCTCCCTCGCCCAGCTCGCCCGCGACGGCGCCCAGTCCCTCATCAACCAGCTCCTCACCACCTGCCCCCTCCAGTCCACCTCCGAAGGCGTCCTCCTCAGCCTGCCCCCGCCCGCCACCCGCCTCCCGCGCGAGAAGCCCGTGCCCCAGCCCAAGCCCCCGACCAAGTGGGAGCGCTTCGCCGCCAAGAAGGGCATCAAGCCCAAGACCAGGGAGCAGCGCAAGAACCTCGCCTTTGACGAGGAGTCGGGCGAGTGGAAGCGCAAGTGGGGGTACAAGGCCCTCAACAAGAAGGGCGAGGACGACTGGCTCGTCGAGGTCGACCCCAAGAAGGAGGCCGACCGCAAGGAGGGCACCAGCGTCCGCGGCGATGGCCGGAGAGAGCGCAAGGAGAACATGCGGCGCAACGAGAGGAAGATGCGCAAGAACGAGCGCGATGCCGCGGCAAAGATGGGCAAGAAGAACTAATGGGATTGGAGGGGCGCTGGCTCACACGCATTTAAAAAATTCGGACTCGGATATCCTCTTGGTGTTTCTCTTGCTTTCAAAGGGTTCTTTATCCATGTACCATCAGTTCGGGCATGGCTACGGCGTTCTAGGCGTGGGGTGTTTCTGTCAGAGGACAAGGCTGCATTCAAGATTGAAGATACTGTTCACTCAGTCAAGATCTAGCTGCTCGGTGGCAGGAGAGGATAGGATTACTCGATTTTCACACAATTGTTGTATAGATGTTAGATGTTTCAAGAAACCTCAAAAGCTAGCATGGGCAACGATCTTCTCTTCAAATTCTCTCTTCTTCTTATCTCTCTTCTCATTCTCACCGTTCCTCCCATGGTTTTATGTTGCCAAAATAAGACAAGAAAGAAATCATTCCCAGCGCTCACTCGAGTGAACGGCTCACTGTTCCTTGTTACGCCACCACCCCCCCTTTATCTGTACACTTGACGCCTTCTATGGCCATTTTGCACCCAGAACGGAGGTTGTAGAGAGATGAAACGGAAAGGAAATGGAAATAGGAGGCGCGCCAATAGCCTCCAACGCAGTTGCTAGCCTCAACCCCATGTCGCTTGGCCTCTGATAACGGAGACCGGCGCGTATTTCTCGGCCAATTTTGATGATCCGCATTTTGGAGTCCCTAGATAGTGAGAAAGGAAAATAGACAGTTTCAGACTCGTGTTGAGGGGCGCAACGACCTGAAATAGAAGATGGGAAAGGAGACAAATCGGGAAAGCGGTCGTCGCGACGTTGATGTAGTAGTAAAGAGAAATAGAGCAGAGACCAGATCGATGATGCAAAGAGGCAGATGGCACATATGAAACAAGAAGAGAGTGTGATTTCGGGGGCTAGTCAGCCTCTCAAAGGTCCTCCTCTGTTGGCGGTTCTGTTCTCTTCATTCATCTTCTTTCTTTCCTTCTCGGTCCCTCCTTGGTGCGCAAGGGGAGAACCAAAGGTGATGAAGATCTGAAAGCAGAGAGGAATTCCAGTCACTGTCAGACCAGAAGCTCTAGTATATAGGAGATGCGCTAAAATCCGAAGAGACGAAAACAAAAACAAGTCATAAACGGCGTCATGTCGTGAATCGGCGCCGATAATAACTGCTGGGTATCTTTGCCGGAAACAAAAGTAAATGTTGATGTGAAGTAAGCCTTGTGTGCCTTGGCCCCGACTTCCGTGCTTAGAAGCCAAGAGGCGACAGAGGCTGGATAGGGGACAGGGGACGCAGGTCGCGAGATCCTGCATCCTCGGTAGTATGTGTGAAGCCATACATGTCCCCAGCATCCTCATGTTCCTCATTGTCATCGCTCAGGGCCGTCGAGACGGTAGAACGTTCGGATGAGAGGCTGTTGCTGGATTTGGAGAGCTGGAGCTGGGGCTTGGTCATGGTCGCTGCCTGCTCGCTCGATTCCTGGATCGATGGCTGGCTGTGATGAGACGCGACCGGCCTTTCCGCCTCGCTAGCCTCGCTCTGCGAAGGAAGTTGTACATCAGCAAGGCCACGCGGCGGCGGCTGATCAAATAGGCGGTACTCTTCCTCGATGAACTTGGATTCATTCTTGCAGCCCCTCCAGCAGTCCCTCCAATCGCAGACCAGAAACTTGAAGCAGAACGCATCGATTTTCATGCAGGGCTGGAAGCAGATGCAGAGGTTTCGGAAATCCATCTTGTTCTTGTCAGAGTGAGCAAGAAGCAGGCTGAGGTGGCATGTGATGGCAAACAAGAGGTAATAGTTGAATGGGGACAGGTTCGAGAGCTCGTCGATGAGAAGCTGCGGGACCTTTTCAGCGCCGTGGCATTCGCGAGCAATCCGCTCCTGGGCCGCTTTGGGGAAGAGCTCGTCGGGCAGTTCGCGAAGCCAAGCCTTGAGCATGGAACCAACAATGTTGATATCATAGAGGTCGTTTTGCTCAAAAAGGTTGACATCATATTCTGCACACAGCCAAGGTTGTTAGCCATCTTGAAATTCTCGACGCGAAACATGGGGGAAAAGAACAGGGTGTGGAAGAAAACGCACGCTCGTCAAACTTTCTCTGCCACTTCTTGACCTGGGGGCCGCTTCCAGGCACACGATAGAGGCCCTCCACCTCTGTCCCCTTATAGTTCAGATAGTCGATGGCTCTCCACGGGAATGCAGGCATCCAGAACTCTGTCTTGTCCCTCGAGTCCTCCAGACGCTTCGAGATTCGAGTCATTCGCGTCTGCTCAACCAGAGGCAGATTGATGACTTTCAACTCGTAATGTTCATCGTCGATGACAGGCTCCTTGTCCGTAGTACTGCTGCTTCGCGTGCTCTTTCCAAAGAGTCCCTTGCTGATCAGGTCGGCCGCCCTGGTGGAGGTGAATTTCAGACCGCTGAAAAATATCGATGCACCGGTTTCGCGGGCCGACGAATGAGCCTTCTGCTCCTTCTCGCGCCCATGATCCTTGCCATGAGAAGCAGCAGCACCGGCGCTTCGGTCCTCTGGCCGGGTTCGAGGAGTCGAGTTCATCCCGTCGTCTCGCAATGCCCGATCTTGTGGCATGATCGGGGTTTGCGTGTTTGTAGCTGCTGCATCAGCCGTGGCAGCGGCGGCAGTAGGAGTCGCGCTGTTGGAAGGCTCCTCAGGAATCGTGTGGTTATGATTTGGCGTGGCCGACGGAAGGGGAACCGGCGCGACGGCAAGCTTGAGGCGGCTGGCTTCTTTGTCGCGTACAGACTTGCTGCGGCCGAGGAGCGCAAACGACTTGGACTTGTTCTTTCTGATGGATGGCAGAGGCGTTGTTGTGTCGGCGTCTCCAGAAGATGAAACAGAGAGGTCGGAGCGAGAAGGTTGAGAAGGAATAGACTTTGGCTCGCTTTCGTCGGTGCTGATCGGGTCTAGGGATAGCAGTGACAATAGGTCAGCCACAAAGGTTCTCAAGGGGGTCTTGTCTCTTTTCTCTTCTTTAGCCTGCTTTCCCCTTCTTTTCTTTTTCCTCATTCATTTTCTTTTCTTTCGTTTTTTCTCCTTCTAGGGACCTGTCACTGGCACAAGAATTCGAGGTGCGCACCAAAACAATGCGACACCAGATGAATGGCGTGCTAGCGCGCACCTTGAATTGTTCGCACCGCAACAATCCCTATCTTTAAGCGAAACGTTGTCCGCCCAGAAACTCCAACTACCTTATGATGCGCAAATCTGCCCCATGTCAATATAGCCTTACCTCTATGACCTCTTTCGCTCTTGTCATCGCCTCGTGATGTCGGCTGGTGTCGCGCCTCGAGATGCTGCTGGTTCTGGGCGGCATGTGGAATGCCGGGAGTTTTAGGCACCTTATTGAACTGGAAAAAGCTCGACTTTGTCGGCTTGGTGCCGTCCGTCATGGCCTGGCGCAAGCCCGGGGTAGGCATTGCAGCTGAGGAAGGATCCAAGTTCGACCTCGAGGATTGCGGCAGCTCCGAGTCATCGCGGGCCTGGGCGCGACACATGTGCAGCTGCTGGTGCTGCTGGTGACGACTGGCCTCGTCTGGCGGTCCGGTGCTGGTCGCAGGCCGCGGCGGCTGTGGCTGGAGGGTTGGCGACGTGCCTATGCGGTTGGGACGGTTTCTGTGGACGGCAAACTTGCTGATGGGGAAGGGCGAGGTTCGCTGCGATCGGGGCGATTTGGAGTTGGGGTAGGATTCGACGGGCGATGCGGCGGCTTGCGACGCAGACTCGGCGGCAGACGGCTGCGGGTCGTCGAGAGCGCTGCTGTCCGCCAGAATCAGCGGCTGGAGGGTGGGCTTAGGTCCCATCTTGGCAAGCCCCGGCTGCAGAGTGTCGAGAGGCTGCGCAATGGCGGTTTGATCTGGCGCAGGAGGTTTGCAGCTCTGCAGCCCTCTGTCAGGGGGCCTGTCGGGGTGGTTTGCACGCGGCGCTATGGCCACAGCCTTGGGAACACGGATAGGAGACGACGGTCAGACTCCAGGGCGCGCAGGGCGCTGCAGCAAGGCTCGGAGGGTCAGGAGAGGGTGCGAAGGAGGGGGCACGCGGTCCTGAGGGAGCCTGAGGGGACTCTTGTGCCTCAGCTGTGCCTCAAGATGGAGAGGGCAAAGGGGCAGGCCAGTGGGGGGCAACCAGACGAGACGAACGATGGATTGCCCGTGGCATCGGCCTGGCTAGCCGGCGTCGTGGAGAAGGGAGTGAGGGAGGGGCGTGCAAGTACGGGGCGAAACAACGAAAGAGAGTGCGTGCGGATGCGGGCGACGGTATCAAGACGGTGGACGACGAAGGATGGAGGATGGATGAGGACGACGAAGGGGGTGAGGATCGGAGAGTATTAGTTGGAGTGAAGATCAGAACCACAACAAGCGTGATAAAGAGACGACGACGACGATTCCGGAGCCGCGTCTGTCTTCGTATCTATGCAAACAATGTAGTTTGTGTATAAGAGAGGAGACGATGCAAATTCAAGTCAGGTGCGAGTACCTGAGGTATAGTAGGTAGCGAGAGAGGATGGGTGTGGGTGCGTGCGAGGCACGTACGTACAGCATGTACGTGCAATCCATCCAGGTACAGGTACGGATCAGCATCGACAGGCCATGGATCCAGCAGGTACCTACCTACCTTAGGTGGACGTCGGTAAAAAAGAGAGCAAAAAGCTGCTCTTGCTACGAGTATTACACACAAGTTGAGCACCTTACGTTCGTGGATATTGTCCTTGGACCCTGGCCTAGAACCGGTCTCTGGACCCTCAAGGGCTCCTTAGAACATAGCCGCTCTCGATTACTACCTAGGTCAGTCGTGGCTGCTAGCGACATGCAATGAAGTTGGGTCGAATACGTGCTAGGCTCTAGTAGCGCTACCGCCGGCTACTTTGTTGAGACGTGGACTCGGCGGATTAAGGTGATACTCGTAGGGACATAATGAAGCGCAGTAATGGCGGAGAAGCTGATTTCATCTGCATATCAGGCACGTATATCTGCAGAGCCGGAGTCTTGGTTTGAGAGACAGTGTCTCGGGTAGAACGAACGTTATGGTCCCGCATTCCGCCAAACGTTTTCCTTTTCTCTTCTTGAGTGAGTTGACGACTCCATTGTCCTTCAATCTGCCCGTCTTTTCATGTCTTGCCAGGTGCTGCTTCATGCAGATTGCTGCATGTACAGGTACAGGTACAGGTACAGGTACGCCCACCAACGACTGAAGCAGATCCATCCCATGCCCTAAAAGCATCAATTGGCTCCATCCCGTTTGGGGTACCTGGTTCGCGTTAGTGCACTCAGGGTGGACGCCAGCGAGTGGAGGGACGAGGGACAGGTTCAGGGAACCGCCGTTGGCGTCAGGTACAAGTACAGTGTACGGAGCATGAAAGCATCAAGCATCCAGCTTGCCCTTTCGTATCATATCAGGCATGCCGACAATCGAATGCTCAAACCTCAAGCATCAGGTGACGCACTGTAAAAAACGATATTGGCAATGGCAAAGAGTTGCCAGTATCATGAGCCACTACAATTGTTCGTCTCGTGGCCTGGGCTTTTCTTTGATGGTTTTTTTCTCCTTCTTTATCTCTCTTTTGTTCACCCACGCGCCATCGCATCTGAAACGCCTCGGTGGCACCCGGGAAGAGAACCGCTCTTTCAGGGGTTCCCGGCGCTGTGATTGGGCCTCGTGGCAGCCTCTGCTCCGCTGCACGGGGGCGCAGGGCACGCAGTCAGCATACCAAGAAGAAGCTGGGAGTCGCACGATGTGCATAGACAAAGGTAAGGTAGGTAGGTGGCCAAGCGGCCAAGTCCTCAGTACAACTACACCCGGAGGAACAGGGCAAGTCAACTGTGGCTCTTTTGGCGCAACTGGGCATCTCCTTCGCAGGGCCGTCAGATATCAAGTCGGCAAACAGGTACTCAATGGCCAGCTTCGGTGACTCCTTACAGGCTACCTACCTACCTAGGCGCCTGGTATGAGAAGGATCGCATCTGTTTCTGGTTTCTCTGGGCAAGACCATTGGGGAGTTTTCGAATCCAAGTCAGGTACTGACTAGGTAACATACCTACTACCTACATAGTACGCCACTATTGCCAATAACACACCTTGATAGAGACGAAAAGACCTCTTCTGATTCAAGAGAGCCCACCGGATACCCAGTACGGATAACCTGCCCGCTCATCACTGGACCTTCAAGTACGGAGTCTCAAACACCTGGACGCAAATATTCCGCAGCTTCGTAATTGTGCCTAGGTATGTGAATCATGAGAGACTCTCAGATGTTGATGTTCCATTCCCACCACCCGCCAAGCATGGTGCAGTATTACGGCGCACGTAGGTTCATCCCGTTCAGGCCGGTAGCACAAGCCTGGGCGAACCAGCGATTGCATAGGTACAGTATTCGATCGACACATCTGCAGAGCATCTCTGCCCTGATTCACCTCCAGTCTCTTGATGCTACCCTACCTAGGTAGGTACTGCTGGGTATTATCCGATAAGTAGACAGCTGGCCATGCATAAGAGAGGATTTTGTATTATGGATGTCGTACTCACGCAGAAGTGCCACATCGTACTAAAGTCTGCAATGCCGCATCATTCTGCTCACTTCCGCCTGCACACGAATGCCCATGTGACTCGTGAACACCCAGCGAAAAGCGCTGCCATTGGGCAATTGTCGATGCGCCCTCCGCATTAGCAGCATCAATAACGCACTCCAACGCAGCCCATTGAGATGTGCGATGCAATTATCCGGCGCTGCCTCTATGGCGCACAGCGAACACGTCGCATTTCAAATCAAGCAGCATCGGGCCGTTGAGACTGCCAGTCAAAGTAAGGTGATACCTCCTTTCCGGGGATATCGAGCGTAAGGTATCTGCAACTTCATGCGCAATACGATGGGTAGAAGGACGAGGCAGCATCCAATGTTAGTAATGCGGCAGGGAACTGGTGATGCACCGCTACCTAGGTAGGTACTTTACAATTTGCCCAGCAATCGCCGTTACGAGGCAGCTCCCTACAGGCCATCTTCATCAAACGCACAGCCACTCGATCAGCCGTTGATTGCTTTTTCCCAGCATTGCCGACTGCGATGGCAATCTCGGTAGTGCTCGTTACCCCGACTCCATTCAGGCTCCTCTTTCGCAAACAACTCTTCATCGAGTCCCCAGCCCAGGGGTGCTCCCCAAGAGGGGTCGTTCGCAGCCACGAGGTCGCAGTACAGTATCTGCGAAACAAGCAGTGCCATAAATAGCATCTACCTCACTGCTAGGTAAGGAGCTTCATGCCGCCGGAGGGCAAAATGATCCAAGTGAAGCCCAACGAACAAGCCCCTGGAATAATAAACAACGAAGCTCTCAGCACATGGACAGCCATTAGGCATTCCCCGATATTACGGGGTAGGTCATGCACCTGGAATTCCAGCGATGCTTGGATATGCTGATTACATAATCAGCCTCAACGTCACCTCTCACGAAGCGAGCTCACCACTGAAGCCAGCTCTGATTCTGCATGTGATATAATACCAAACAACAACTCCCCCATAACATCGCCATGGCTCAGGCATCTGGAGACGCCGAGGCTCTGAAACTTGCAACGGATGCCCACGTGAAATATGTCCTGAGCTTGGACACGAAAACTGATGAGCTGGACTATTGGATGACAGAGCACCTACGGCTCAACGGTGCCTACTGGGGCCTATGTGCCCTCCATTTTCTCCGTCACCCTGAGGCTCTACCACGCAAGGACACCATCGACTTCGTCCTCTCCTGCCAACATGATAATGGCGGCTTTGGGGCTGCCCCTGGACACGATGCTCACATGCTCTCTACGGTAAGTGCCGTGCAGATTCTCGCCATGGTTGATGGCTTCGACGAGCTAGAAGCGCGAGGAAAGGGAAAGGCGGCAGTTGGCAAATGTAGGTAGTGTTGCATAGCTCTGCCAAATCAATGACGTTCGGCACTCTAACAGACCTTGCAGTCATAGCAGACCTTCAAAATCCCGAGAGCGGAAGCTTCTTTGGCGACGAGTGGGGTGAAGAGGACACAAGGTTTCTATATGGCGCCCTCAACGCTCTATCACTCTTGGGCCTCCTATCTCTGGTCGACGTCGACAAGGCTGTCTCGCATATCGTCGCTTGCTCAAACTTTGACGGCGGCTACGGCGCGAAGCCCGGAGCAGAGTCCCACGCTGCGCAAATCTTCACCTGCGTCGCGGCTCTCGCCATCGCTGGCCGCCTTGATCTCGTAGAGCATGAGAAGCTTGGCCGCTGGTTGAGCGAGAGGCAGCTTCCTGGGGGCGGTCTCAATGGTCGGCCCGAGAAGAAGGAAGACGTCTGCTACAGTTGGTGGGTGTTGAGCAGTCTCGAGATCATTGGTCGCGTCCACTGGATCGACAAGCAGGCCCTCATCAACTTCATCTTGGCCTGTCAGGATCCAGAAAACGGCGGCTTCTCTGACGGGCCGGGCAATATGGTGGACGTCTGGCACACGTGTTTTGGCACCGCCGGGCTGAGCTTACTTGGATACCCTGGCATGGAGCCCGTGGATCCGAGGTATTGCATGCCCAAGAGTATTGTGGCAAGGATTCTGGGAGAGTGAGCAGAAAGACAGATGCTGGATAATGGTAACACATGCTACAATAATGCTCTATATCTGTCCGCCTCTGGTAGCTGCGCCGTATCACCACCTCGACGCCTAGTGACTTCGAGCTAATGACCATGTGCAAGGATGGATGAGAGATGCCTACGTAGAATAATTGGAAGAATGAGGAAAATTCCAAGACACCTTGCATTTTGAACGTTCCAAGCTCTGTTTGTTTCACATATAGAAGGAGATCTAGGTTTGTGTTTGCTCAGCCCAGCTGGTGATCAATAACGGGAAGTACGGTTCAGGATTACCCTAGAAATGGTCAACAACAGACATGAAGGAAACCTGCACAGCCTACAAGAATACTAAGGAGCAGACAAAGTGTTTGATGAGTCTGTTGTGCCACGGCAAATCTGTCTGATATCTGGAGTCTTCCACTGTCCGATGTGTTGCGCCGCACCACGCGACACCCTCCATTGCGTCCCCAGATCATCATGAGAAGCAGTTAAATCACTCTAACTAATGTAAAGTACCTAGGCATGAATGTCTAGACATTTTGCGAAGTGGCAGGATTGACGAAGAACCACTCGAGCGACCACCACTCTCCAGATGAGCTTGGTGCACTCCAACGACTGCGAAGTTGATGATCGATGAGGAGCATGTATGCCCTTTCGATGCCAGTTTGGGTTCACGACAGAAAGATGAGGATATACCTAGTAGGTAGTAGGAAGGCAGCTCAACATTTCTAGCAATGCAATGCCGCCATCAAGAGATATCAAGTGGTGGACTTGATGATATATATAATTACCTACGATCGTTATTGCCTACTCTGGTCAAGGGCTTATCAGTCATGATGGCATCGTCTTCTACCAGTGCGCTCTGGGAAGAGGGAAGGTGCGATGGCTATCCGCATCCACACCATAGGAGGGCTAACCCCTTCGTGGTTCTTCCTTCCCGACATCGAAGGGACGCTGAGGATGATCGGACAAAGCTGCTCTTCTCTTCTATCCTCTCTTCTTCACCTCTCAAGGAGATGAGAAGCAGCATCTCTGCGTCCTGATTGCCTCGAAGCCTCTGGTTCATCAAGGTTCCTGCCTTCATACCGCCTGGATCCCTCTACTGCCACTCATCACCGCCCAGACGTTCTCGGTCGCGCCTTCAAAAGCGGTAGAGTCATGGATTCCTCCTTCTTCCCCATTCCCTTCAAACGACTGCCAGATCTGCCTCCTCGAGTCGGTCCCTCTGTCCTCACTTGGGACGGAAGCGAGCCCGCACCAGAGCTTCCAGCTGCTCCTGGTCTGCCTCAGTGGGCAGCCTCTTCTAGAGCGCTGCTGCCTCACCAGCTGGCAGTGACGGGGCCGATTGCAGATATGAACGGCCTTTATTCCGTGGTAAGATACAACGGCTTCGCCTTTACTTCTACCTACTAACCTACCTTACCTCTCTCTCCTACCCACCCCTCTCCTACCACCTTGACCCTTTGCCTCTTTCTTCCTACATCTTCCCTACTTCCTCTACCTCACCGACCTATACCTAGACCAACCTGCTCTGCTGTCCAGTTCTGTATGAGACTTGCTCTGCTCACTCGACACAACTGCGTCTTCCCTCTCGTACCCCCCAGGCCCCATGTACTCAGTTGCTCTTTTCTGAATCACGTCACTCTCTACCATTGCTTCTTTGCTTTCGGGTCATCATCAAGGCCCACGACCTTCGTTACTCTTTTTCTTCCCGTCCTGTGCTTGCTACTACTGTCGTTGCTGCTGCTGCTTTCCTGCCGCGAGGCCACTTCGTGCAATCAGCCTGGCCCTCTGGGTCATGATCAGGTCAGACCTCGCAACAGTGCTTCTAGAGGTGCAGACAGACAAGCTACAGCTGCAAGAAAATGATTCTTGCCCCTTCATTGGGTGGTACTCGATTTGATCTAGACATCATGACTGACTATTTGAGGAGCAGGACATGGCGTCGGTGGTGAACACGGGCACCTCGTCTGGTTCCGGTAGCAAGCAGATTCCTTTGCTCTGCACCGTCTGCCCCGAGTCGCCGCGATTCTCCGATGTGTCCCACTTGCTCACGCACATCGCCTCCAAGGGCCATCTCCATCATGAAACCCAGACAAAGTTGAAGGCTCACCAGGACGTCGCGGCCTCTGTTGCTCTACAGCAGTACGAGCAGTGGTACAAGGACAATGGCATTGAGCGCCTGCTTGTCGAGCGGATGAAGGCGAAGCAGCTGAAAGAGGCCGCAAGAAACAAACGGGCCAGAGGCGTTGCGGCCCTCGTAGCTGCCAAGGTATGTATCTATCATGACGGTTCGAACAAGTTTCCACCAGCGCGCTGACAGTACAGCAGCAGCAGCCCAAGAGGAAAATGAAGAGAGTTGAATCTGACATGGTCGTGAAGAATGAACATGAAGATTTTACTCCGGACTTTCCCATGTTTCCGGGCTTCTTCCAATCAGAACAGGACAACGAGGTCCAGAACGACTTCTTCGGATCAGGCGATATGATGTCACTGAAGGGTCAGATATGGCCAGGCATGGGCAAAATGGATCTGGCAAATGAGGATATGAAACGCACTCGCAACCAAAGAAAGCCCAAGTCGGTCATTGAAAAGATGAGAAGAACGTCAGAGGGAATTGAGCCCACTCAAGTCGTTATGACGGCGGAGTTTGAGGTGGAAAGGGTCAAGGATGTTTATGACAGCTCTTCACCGGCCCCGGACCAGGAGGAGACGGTTTGTACAGACTCTCAGCTTCTTTGGACGAATTACTAACATCATTGATCAGACGCCACCCAAGAAAACAGCGAAGCCTCGCCGAAAGCGTGGAGAGCCACTCGCAGAGATCTCTGCCAATATTCCTCGGGGAGGCAATCGCCGTCTCACCCGCAGCAACGCTGGCCAAGACAAGAGTTCCAAGCCCCTCCTCGCATACAGTCGAACCCCAAGCTCTGACATCACGCCTACTCTGGGACAGTACAAGCGCTCTCATGATATCTTCCGGGATGATGATGAGCTTACCGGTACGCACCCTTGGGCAGATCGTAGGAACAGCATTGACTCGATATAGGCGTGTACAATGGACGTGCCATGTCCAATGCGTCTCAAAGGGAGCCAAGGTAACATCAAACATCGAACGCGTGATCGAGATATCGTACTGACTCTCGGGCCATATAGTTTTGAGCTACGCAGGCGAATTGGTCTGCACCAGCTGAATCCGATTGCACACTCAAACATGGCGTCCCCAACTCCAGCTGCCAGAGACGTCCCTGACAGAGGATTCTCGGCGCGAGACCTCCAAAGAGGCAGAAGCCAAGAGCAATCTTTCCTCAGCATGAATGGACACGCTGGTCTAGGTAAGCAGAAATTGCATTCCTACTCAGTGACTAGGTATGTAGTGCTGATCAAGGCTCCCGCCAGGCTCCTTCACTCATCAGGATTTATCCTATGCCTTGGATGGAACGTCCATCTATAACAGTGCCCCACGATTTCCATTCGCTACGAACAACCACTTCAATGCTCTTGGTCATGACCATTTTCGCCTCCCCCCAGGCCACAGCGCCCAGCAGAAGTTCGAGGATTATTCGCATACCAGTGCCGGAGAGGCCAATTCGGCAGCAAATCAGTTCCTTGACATACCAGCTACCAATCCTCTCTTCTCGCAAGATCGTCTCTTCCTTGGATCATGTGGCCAGCCGGGTCCTTCAGCAAGCCTGTCTCCGCTGGGATTCACATCCATAAACCGCAATCCGGATACCTCTCACTCGATGCGTCAAAGTCAGTCAGCTGCCGGTGTCAAACCCGAACCACAGCTTTGCGACGTTCTGGATGATGCCAACATTGACGATGAGAAGGAATCTCGCTACCCTGTGCACGGCATCTGGGAATCGCAAGGATCTGACAACGGCATCGAAATCCACGAAAATCTTCAACACGACGAATTAGATCTCTAAATTTTTCCATTACTCGGTCAATGAATGGGTCGGTCAGACGATGACCACTTCCTTTCTGCATGGGTCTTTGTGGGATACTTGACAAGAAGGCTACGGCGCATTTTTCCTTTCAGTTCTTCTTTCAACTTAATTTTCCTCGACTTCGGCGGCGCTTCACGGAGATATCGAAGACCCATTTCTGCAAGGTGAGTGAACCTTGGAGAGTGCCTCACTGTGCCATGACCGCTAATACATCGTCAGTGATTCATCAGATAATATTTTTCTCGTCCTACGAACTCTGCGTGGATGTGTCTGAACACGGCGTCAATACGGCGTTGGTACGACAACAGCTCGACATGAACAGCCGGTCGAGATCGAATATGGCACACGGTTCGCCTTATGAAGAACATATCGTTGTGCCGACTCGCATGGAACGATAATCCTTCTACGTTATAGAGGCGAACTGATTTCCCCGTAGCCTTGTACTACGACAACTCGTGGGCTCACGGCTAGGTGTTTTGTGATTTTTATTTCTGATTGGTCCATGGCGATTCTACTCTCATTTCTACAAATTGGGTTTATTTGAGACGTGTTTACCGATAGCAGTAATCGATTTGAAGAGGACAGCCCTGTTGGCCAGCTTATTTTGTCTGTCAGGGAGGCTGAATATAGATAGGGCCATGGGAAAGCAATTTTGCGGTTCGTATGATTCCATATTGGTACCTAGACATGATAAATACAGCAGTGTTCCGCTTCTTATACACGTGGGCAAAATACATAGATACCCGGACAGATTTCGCCAGATCCAAAGGAAACAGAGGTGAAGTGGGAGACATGACTTTCCATGAACATTCTAGTGATTATAGCTGTTCAATAGACGTAATCAGATGGTCGAGCTGGTCTGGGCCGGATTCCAGGACATGAGCAAGCGTCCGACACGCTCCTTGTAACCGTCGCCGCCTCATTTCGTTTTCAAGCTGCCTTGACTTTTCTGCGGCGACGTCAAGGACCTTTTTAGGGATGCGTGCCAAGCGGGCGACGTTGAGCCCGTACGAGCGATGAGCGATGCCCTCTCCCACCTCGTAGAGAAAGGTAATTTCCTCCTCGCCGTCGGGCCCCTTCTCCGCGTTGAACTTCATGTGGACGTTTGTGACGCCGGGCAGGCCATCGGCGATGTGGGCGAGGTTCTGGTAGTGGGTGATGAAGAGGGTGAGGCACCTGGTCTCGGTGACGACGTGGTGCAGGACGGCCTGGGCGATGGCGGCGCCATCGTGGGTGCTGGTGCCGCGGCCGAGCTCGTCGAGGATGACGAGGCTGCGGGGGGTGGCGGAGCGGAGGATGCGGGCCGTCTCGGTAACCTCGACCATGAAGGTCGACTCGCCGGCGAAGAGGTTGTCCCTGGCGCCGGCGCGGGTGTGGATGGCGTCGCAGAAGGTGAGCTCGAGGGCGTCGGCGGGGACGAAGGAGCCGATCTGGGAGAGGAGGACAATGAGGGCGACGGCGCGGACAAAGGAGGACTTGCCGCCCATGTTGGGGCCGGTGATGAGGTGCGCCAGGGCGGAGGGGTGGGACAGGGTGGTGCTGAAGGGGATGTAGCTGCTCTCGAGCATGTGCTCGGCCATGGGGTGGCGGCCCTGGGAGATGGAGATGGAGGGCTCGCTGGTGGCGGGCAGGAAGGTCGGCTTGGTGTAGCCCGGTTGGGCGGCGACCTTGGAGAGGGAGAGGAGGCAGTCGAGGGTGGCGAGGGCGGAGATGGCGTCGCGGAGGGGCTGGTACTCGGACGCGATGGAGGCGAGGAAGTCCTTGAAGGCCTTGTCGCACGCTGCGGCGAGGGCCTCCCGGTGCTGGTCGCGCTCGGTGATGAGGCGGATGACTTCGGGGGTGTGGAAGCGCGAGAGGGCCTTGGTGCCGGAGATCTTGCTCCAGGAGGCGGGGACGTTCTTGATGTCCTTGTTGGGGACGGCGATGAGGTACTCGATGCCCGCGACGGTGACGTACTCGACGCTCTTGGCCTTGATTTTCTGAGCGGCGACGGCGCGGTGCTCGTCGAGTTCGTGCTCGACGTGGGCAATGCCCAGCTGATGGTCCTGTATCTCTTCGGTGTGATATTCTTCTCGGAAGAAGCCATACTTGTCGTCCTTCTTGGCGGCATATGCATTGATGCGATCGAGATAGGAGACGACCGAATCCAGGATCTGGGGCAGGCTGGTGATGGCGTTGACAATGACTGGTGAGTCAAAGGGAACATCTGAGGCTGATTTGATGGACGAGTAGTGACTGGCAATCTTTTGCAGCGTCTGAAGCACGGACAAGAGCTCCGGCCTCGTGCACTTCCCGTAGTAGATCCGGATGAGGCTGCGCTCGAGGTCAGCCTTGGTCGTTGTGAGGAGCCGCTCTAGGTCGTCGACGGGCGGGGTGGATTGCTTGTCGAGAAGCTCCTGAACGGCGGCGAGTCGCTCGTCTAGGCGCTCTCTGTCCAGCAATGGGCGGCCGACCCATTTCCGCAGGAGACGCTGGCCAAACCGCGTGAGCGTCTTGTCGACAGCCCAGAAGAGGCTCCCCTTTTGGGAGTGGTCGGTGGAGTTGCGGTAGACTTCGAGGCTCTCGAGCGTTGTGCCGTTGATCAGCATGTGAGATCGGGTGCTGAAGCTCTGGAAATACTTTGTAAGGCCAAAGATGTGCTCCAGGCCATACTCCTGCAGATGGGTGATCATGGCAGATAGACAGATGGTGATGGCCTCGGGCAGCCTCAGCACCTTGTCAAGCAGGGCACTTGCAGTCTCATTATCCGACGCCTCCTTGACTTGGTCGGCATAGAACTGTGTCACATGCGAATACGCCTCAGCGGCCATGGTTTTGCTCTTTGGCACACGCTCAACGCGGGCACGATCGCCAAACACATTGGTACTGCTGCCCGATAGATGCTGTATCAGCTTGTCAGTCCCTTTGGTGATGTCTCCTACAATAAGGAACTCGCAAGGCGATATGTGCAACAGCCGTGTCTCGATCTCGCTCCGCATGAAACAATCTTCGAAATTGTCGTAGATGATGTCGCCAGTGGCGGGTTGGACGGCGAGAATGCCGACATTGACATTTTCATCGGTGCCAGCGCCTTTAGATGCTGTTTCTGTAATACACAGCAGGTAGCCGCCAGAGGGGGCGGAAGCGTCCTGGCTGTCTAGCTCTCCATTCTCATCCACGTACGTCCCCTTTGTGTAGAGATTTGTGAGTTTGCGGACAAAGGGGGCGTTTCTGTTGTCGCCAGCCTTCTTTAGAGCCGCTGTCTCAATTTGACGTACGACTCCGACTTTGTGGCCAGCAGCAACGAGACGCTTCGCGTGAACGGGTAACCTGTGAACAGGAATGCTGGCAGATGCGAAGCGATCCAAGTGAGCTTCCGAAGGATCTGGTGCGGGTCAGCGAAGCCCATTTGTTAAGGGACGTCTGGGTCAGCATGGAGGTACGTACGCTCGTCATAGCGCATCTTGCCTGGTATGCAAACGATGCCCAGCTCTTTGGCAGCAATTCGGGCATCCTCCCCAAAGAATCGAAACTTGTAGCCAACCTCGACAATGAGGATCGTGTCCATGTGTTTCCGCTTAATGTCTAGGAATTGGATCTCCATTGGCGTTAGCTTCCCCGTTTTTGCTCCCTTCTTCTTTGCTTTGGAGGCAACGGGAGGCTCCTCCTCTTCCGGATCTGCATCAGCATCCTCGTCGTCGCCGGTGATGCCACTATCCTGTGCTTTTAAGCCCCAAGACAGAGCATCGGGGTGGCCCAGTTTCTTGACGAATTTCCTGTGCAGCTCCTCATTCCGCCTCTGGGTCTCTGCATCATCGCTGTCGTTGCCATTGTATTCTTGTGAGTTTGACTCGTCGTAACGGTAGCGTTGTGCTCGTGCGGAAGTCGGGCTTCGATTGCTGGCGGCTGCAGTGGCGGACGAATCTTTGCGGAAAAAGGAGCTTTCGCCATCGATTGTTTCATCGTCACCCTTTGCTCGCTTTGGTGCCTTCTCAGCACTGCCATTGGCCTTTTCGCCATCCTTGTCGAGCGGCCGCTTTCTTGACGGCAAAATGGACTCGTTCGCAAGGGTTGGTGAAGAAGGTACTGCGGGCTGGGAAGAAGAAGCCGTGCCATTGACGGCCTTGGGCGTGAAGAAAGCCGTCAGAGACTTTTGCTTCTTCTCTGACGCTTTCGAAAGAGGCGCCATGGCGGGATTGATGGCGGTGTACAGATGCGGCCACCGTTTGCCATGCACGAGGTTCGTCGTCTTGCTCTAGACTTTTGCCTGCAAGAGACGACGTGCGATAACGACTCGGATTTGGCAGGCGAGGCTGCGTGAACCTCTCAACGCGTCCAGCAGGTGCAGTTGCGCGTTTGGGAGGCCCCATATTTTGCCTATTTAGGGAACATCGACGTCAGGGTAGCTCTTATCTTATCAGACACCTCCATCAGACAAAGATCATGTCTCTTGTGAGTACTACCTAGTACTTCCATTGATGCCATTTTATCTCATGTCTACCTATCATGTGCGATATCCCATTGTGGCCTATGGGAGCTTTACTACACATCTCAAAGCACCGAGGCTTCTCAAAGCGCACCAAGTCTCGGGCTACGGGTATACTAGAATTTCGAAGCTGTCAGTCCAGTACCTATTCTGTAGGGTCCGGCTACAAGCACGGCATTCAAAGGACAAGTCCCTGTTCCTCGTGATAGACGGCGACAACGACTCGAATTGGCTGCAGATTGCTGAATGCTACCACTGCCGACCTTGAGTACAGATATCGATACTTCCAGGTGAGATCTACTGAACAAGACGGCAGTTGCCAATCCACCTGAACCCCCCGGGCCATGGTCGATGCTGGTCATCTACTTGTACCCGATGAGGGATAGGATAGAATCCCGTCAAGCAGACACGGCACAGCCCCCAAGTCCGCGCAATTCGACCTGGGTGCCGCAGCTGATGAGGCCCTTGCGAGTCTTGGCCTCACGATGCCAGCGCTTCGACTGAACGCGCCATA